CTGTATCCCATAGGTATTGGTATATTGTATTTCCATTTCCACTTCTTTCAAAGTTTTTATTTATTTTGCTGTTTCTCAGATTGCTATGGCTTAGTGCGAGCCCCATTGGCTTGCAAAGCTAGATGTTTTGGGGCCCTTCTCTCAGGGAGAAGTTCAGGATTGTGAGTTCCCTCCTACTTGTGGGTCATTGCACCTGGGGTGGGGGTTTATGGCGAAATTGCCTTTCAGCCTCTTCTACCCATTTTGATGTGGCGTTTTTCCTCATCTGCCCAAATTGTAGGAGTTGAGCAGCTAGTTTGGGGTTTCTGTCAGAGAAAATTGTTTTGTATGCAACTGTAGGTTTGTGTCTGTGGGAGGACTTGAGATCAGGATCCAATAACATCATCAGCTTAGCTGGAACACTCCTGACTCGATTTTGATTGACTGCAGATAGCGAGATCCGGAGGCGTAATCAAATTCATGTTTAATTAACAGTAATAGATGCTTTCTGTTCCCTACTGTATCACATCAGGAGGCATGTCTGGCTGACTTGAGTGAATTTAGGTGTTATTATCTTGATCCAACATTATAATTCCCCATTTGCGTAGATCTGTGATTTCATTAGTTGTAAGATGGTTTGCTTCTATCATTTCTCCTGTGCTTAGTACCTGGAATTACTCTCTGAAGAAGAGTTTTTCCTCAGCTGACAGGTTTTCCTGACATGCAGTTACACTGGTAAGACAATTGCTTGATTCTCTCCTTTCATTTATCAGTTCCCATCGCTTAAAAAAATGTAATGTTCTTTTATGGCTTAAAGAGCCTAAACTAATATCTATACCCATGGTCAGCAAACCGTAGCTCGCGAGCCACATGCGGCTCTTTGGCCCCTTGAGTGTGGCTCTTCCACAAAATACCACGGCCTGGGCGAGTTTATTTTGAAGAAGTAGCGTTAGAAGAAGTTTAAGTTTAAAAAATGTGGCTCTCAAAAGAAATCTCAATCCTTGTACTGTTGATATTTGGCTCTGTTGACTGATGAGTTTGCCGACCACTGCTCTATACCATGGCTTTTCTTTCCGTTGATCCCTCACAAATGTAAATCACTTGGTAATTTTAATTGCAGTTTCCCACATGCTAAACAAGCATCAGATGGCTCTGCCAAAGGGCCAATTCCTACTCAGGTGGAAGGAAAACGAAGAACTGTGCAACTGGCTTGTTGACAGATGTAGATTAGAGTGTCTTTAGGCCTACAGGCAGGGATCCCCACACCACCACCCACTGCATACATACGTGTATGAATACATATAATATTTGAGTTTCCAATCGGCATGTTAGGGCTAATTTTTTTTTTCTTTTTTTTTTTCTTTTCAAGTTCTAACTGGTTTGGCTCAATGGATAGAACATCAGCCTGTGGACTGAAGGGTCCCAGGTTCAAATGCAAGGGCATGTACCTGGGTTATGGGCACATCCCCAGAAGGGGGCGTGCAGGAGGCAGCTGATGGATGTTTCTCTCTCATTGATGTTTCTCTCTATCCCTCTCCCTTCCTCTCTGTAAAAAATCAATAAAATATATTTTTTTAAATTAAATTTGCCCAGCCAGTGTGGCTCGCTGGTTGAGCATCAGTATATGAACCAGGAGTTCACAGTTCAATTCCAGGTCAGGACAGGTGCCGGGTTATGGACTTGATCCCGCATAGGGGGTGTGCAGGAGGTAACCAATCAATGCTGCTCTTTCATTACTCATGTCTCTACTACTCTCCCTCTCCCTCCCTCTCTGAAATCAATAAAAAAATATTTTTAAACGTTTAATTTATTGAGATAGATGGCATACAGTTTTTAAAATACAGTGATCCTGTGCACCTTTTCTCCTTTTCCCCAACTCTATCATCTTATAAAAATACATAGCACACCACAGCCAGGAGACGGACATCCACAAGGTCAAGACACAGACAGCTGCAGGAGTCTCTCTCTGCTCCCTGGATGATATACTGCCCATTTCACAAATTGATTAATAAAGCTAATTAGACCTTCACGTTTATATTTAAAAAGTAAAATACCAACAGTTCCATCATAAGAGTCCCTCAGGTACCCTTTTACAGCCACACCAACCCCGCCCCCGTGTAGTTTTTACACTGACATGGTGTCCTCGGGCTGCGGCAGCACCTTCCGCCCACCCACAACAGTCTGTGCGGGGAGGCAGGTGCAGAGGGCAGGCCAGCCTCCTCCAGGGCGATCCCGCCTTTCCTGCACTTAAAACATTTATTTTAAATATATTTTATTGAGTTTTTACATACAGAGAGGAAGGGAGAGGGATAGAGAGTTAGAAACATCGATGAGAGAAACATGGATCAGCTGCCTCCCTCACACCCCCTACTGGAGATGTCCCCACATCCAAGGTACATGCCCTTGACTGGAATCAAACCTGGGACCTTTCAGTCCACAGGCCGACGATCTATCTATCCACTGAACCAAACCAGTCAGGGCTAAAACATTTTTAAAATTGTTTTGTTCTCAATTACACTTGACACACACTATTATATTAGTTTCAGTGTACAACCCAGTGAGTAGACATTTTTTAAGACATTAAATAACTAAGTGATCACCCAGATAAATCTAGTGCCCATCTGACATCATACATAGTTATTACATTGACTATATTCCCCAGGATATACTTTACATCTTTGCCACCATTCTGTGATTACCAGTTTTGTATTACTTAATCCCTTCACCTTTTTCACTCATCCCTCCAACTCCCTCCCTTCTGGCAACCATCAAAATGACCTCCGAGTCTATGAATCTGTTCTGCTTCATTTACTTCTTACATCCTACATAAAAGTGAAATCATAGCACTGTCTTCCTCGGACTTATTTCACTCAGTACAAGACCTTCTGGGTCCATCTCTATGTTGTTGCAGATGGCAAGATGATGATGATGATTATTTTTTTTTACGGCCAAGTCATATTCCATTTTCACAACTTCTTTATCCACTCGTATGCTGATGGACACTTAGGTTGCTTCCATATCTTGGCTATTGGAAATAATGCTATAATGAACATATGGATGCTTGTCTTTTTGATTGAATGTTTTGGGTGTCTTCGGATAAAGACCCAGACCACTGCCTATTTGTTATGGCCTCCAGCTGAGAATGTCTTTTACGTTTTTTAAAAGGTTGAAGGAAAAATGCCATAAAGTCCTGGCTCACAAAGCTTAAAATGCATTCTATTGGGACTTCTCCAGAAAGTTTGCCAAACCCTGATGTAAAGCAGTATGTGTTAAAGCGCCTCTGGGTGAAGGCTGTACTACATGGGAGGTCTCAGACCCGAATTCTAAAACTGAACTCTCCTAAAAATGCACATACATAGCCCTGACTGGTTTGGCTCAGTGAATAGAGTGCTGACCTGCAGACTCAAGGGGCCCAGGTTCGATTCCGGTCAAGGGCATGTACCTTGGTTGTGGGCAAATCCCCAGTAGGGGGTGTGCAGGAGGGAGCTGATTGATATTTCTCTCTCATCGATGTTTCTGATTCTCTCTTCTCTCCCTTCCTCTTTGTAAATACATCAATAAAATATATTAAAAAAAATAAAAATGCACAATATACAAAGTTGTGCCTGTGTCCATCCCCAGGCACTACGGCCCCAGGTTAAGACCTTGGCACCACAGTATTGTATTAGCCTACTCCAGCTGCCGCAAAAGTACTAGACCAAGTGACTCAAACAATAGGAATTCCACACCATTCTGGAGGCTAGACATCTTCAGCTCAAGACACTGGCTGGAGTGCTTTCCAGCGAGTCATCTTCCTGACTTGCAGACAGTGCCTTCCGTGACTTCACATGGGCCTCCCCTCTTCCCTCTGTGCGCAGGCCTGCCTAGTCTCTCCCAAGGCCACCAGTCCTTGTGAATTAGAGCCTCACCCGTATGACCTCAGACTTCCTTAAAGGTCGTGTCCTCATACAGCCACCCTGGGGGTTAGGACATGGCTGTGAATGGGTGTGTGTGTGTGTGTGTGTGGAGAGGGAAAAAGGGAGAGACACAGTTCAGTCCATATCACCTATAAATACTAAATCTGAGTATAACTGAGTACTGTGTGTCCAGACTGAGGGCCTCATCCCTTCAGCACTGAAAGCATGCGGTCTGGGTGGTTTGCTCCTGAACCCCAGGCACTACCTTATAGGCTAAGGGATCATCTTTGCTGAATTAATGAATGGTGAGATTAGATTAATGCACTAGGAAATTCATGGAGGAATATAAGATGCTAATAATAATAGGCAGTGGTCAGGGTCTTTATTCAAAGACGCCCAAAACAAATAGTTCATTCGACTATCACATTTAAATACGATAGTAATTCTGAGGAGAAACTAGGACTTAGGAGAAACTAGGAATTAGGATAATCAAGTGAAGTGGCATTTTTTTTTCCTTTTAAAATACCATGTGTGGGCGTGCATGTACAGTGCAATTGAAATTTCGTGGCCCATGTGCAGAAGTTGGTTTCTGGCTCTCAAAAGAAATTTCACTCTTTGTACTATTGATATTTGACTAATGAGTTTGCAGACCACTGTCTTAAGGTGTGAATTAGCTCTAAGCTAAATGCTTTGAAGGGTAGAAGTACCCCTATTCCATTTAGAGAAAAACCTGATAAAAACTCCAGTTCTTTTTGTCTAGGTCAGCAATTTTCAACCAGTGCACAAGGCTTTTTAAAATGTGCAATACTTATATTTGAAATTAAAATTATTGGTCTTGGTTAAGAACTGAGACCCCACCGTCTGCCTTTCAAAGAAAGCAATTAACAGTTACATAAACACTATGCTCCTGATTCCTTAAACAAAATGAGACAGCATTTTATCTGGAAGTCTGTGGTAATGCATGCAGTATTTGGTAATAAAGGCTAATACAATTTCGTGATTCTATTTTTTTAACCCAATAGACTATTGTAAACAGCTTCAGATATCTGCCTAGCAATTAGCTTTTTAAGCAGTTTTACAAATTACAAATCTGTTACTGCTTCAAGAGAATGAATGCCAAAATACTTCTTTTAAAAAATGTATGACTTTTATTCTTTATTGTCTTTATTTTCTAAGTTTGACATCCGAACTTAGCAAACATCATGGAGATTTGTACAAACATACATATACATATATACACACACATTTTGAGTTTAAAGCCCTCATTAAACCTTGTGCTCAGGCTCCTGTTAAAAAGAGGTAAAATGGTGAGAATTTAAAAATCAGGAAAACATGAATAAATCCCAATGAACTTCCTTGTTATCAATTAAAGCAGACAGTTTAAGCAAAATCCATCACCTTGCTAATAAAACTCCCACTAAGCTACAGCCTCCGGTATTGACAAGAAAACACATAAAAAGCCCCCTTTTTGTTTTAGTGACCAGCTGGCTGAGGGGTTGTGTGTTGTTACTTCAGGAACAGTTAATATTCCACTGATTGAAATTTCAAGTGTTAAAAACTGACTTCAAGCTGGGTCATCCATCCTTCCACGCCGAGCGAGCTCTTCACGAATCACCACAGAACGTTCAGGCTCTGAACGAGGCTCGGAATGAAATGCGCTGCTGTGGTTTGGAAATGAAGAGCAGGTGCCGTCAGTTCACTCGGGGCCGTTTGGTGTTATTCTTCTCTGGAGGCGCTTTTCTCTTTTGTGATAATCCAGACCCTAGTTCCCTATAATTCTGAAGGAAAGCAACAGCTTCTGGGAGACAGTAATTTTCTACTGGAGGAGGGGTTTCCTGAAAGGGGGAAAACAATACATTATTCATTTTTTAAAAAAAATTTCAAACTGTTATACAATCAGGTAATAGGTTCCTTTACTCTGCTTTTTGACTACAGAAATTTTATACATTTCCCTTCACATATTCATGTCTAAATTCTTACAAAGAAAACATGTTTATTTCAAGGTTTGCTGTTTATCATGCGTCACATTTAGTGAACAGTCATTGTATATCAGAAAGATGAGCTAATAGCTCAGACCTAAATAAATAGATTAAATATAAAAATAGGGGAAATTTGGAAAAATACAGTTAATAGTTATCAAGTGTGAGACAGTATGCTTAGTGTAATTTTTGAAAAGTTTTTTACTGAATTTTTACTTGAGCTTTACAATAGATACCCGAGGTATTTTTTGTTCCTCATTTTACAGATAAAATAAAAAGGTTCAGTAACAGTCAACATTACATAATTACCCAGCTGGCAAAGCCAAAATTCCGTGTTCCAAAATAAAGTATATACACTTAGCAGCTGATAGACCAATTGATGTTTCTTTTCAGATTTAACCCATTAGAATAAGACTATTAGTGTCCCCCAAAAATGAATACATACTAATTTATAACAGACTGTCATAACAGCACAACATATTCCTCCAGAAATCTAGTGCCTGGCGTATTTTACAACCTTGAGAGGCAGGGACATAGCCAAAAGTCAGACAGTGATCACCCCCGGGGTAAGGAAGGAGGTGCATGGGAAAGGCCTATGGGAATAGCAACACTCTATTTCTTTACCAAGAACCTAGATGACATTTTGCTATTCTTTAACAAGTACATGTTTTATGTGAGAATGCATACATAAACACTATGCCCAGCACAATACAGGCAATTAATAATGATCAGTTCTTGCCCTGGCCAAGTGGTTAGTGTTGGGGTGTGTGAGAGGCAAGCAGTGAATGCATCTCTCTCCTTCTTTTCTAAAGATAAATAGAAAAAATATCCTCGGGTAAGGATAAAAAAATTAATAATTATTGGTTTTTGTCTTAGGGGGCAGTTGTATTCCTAAAATGACCAGGGATGAGATTCAGTGCTTTATGAAAAAGGCATCATGTTTGTTTTGGGCACTCTTGTTTAAACCCAGAACAAGCATAAGCAGCATAAGTTACATGGCAGGCTGCGTCCTGGCTCCCCCCTTTCCCTATGCCATTCTGTTTGAAATCCTTGATAGTAAAGACATTCGTGACCGTGTCACACTTGCTGATGGCATTCTGGTGCCAGGAAGATGTTTCTCTGCCCGTTCAAACCATACAAACACGGGCCCCTCACTCCACGAGTGCAGGGAGCCCTACATGTAAGCAAATGCTTGACGTTAGCATCTAACATAGGTGTTTACTACATATCAATGCAAATGGTCAAGAAAACTAAAGGAGGACCCTAGGGTAAATGTTTCTCCTTGGACTCTTGAAATCAATTTCCTCTTTCTTTGTATTCCCACATCTAGAAGAGCACTTTTATACTTAGCTCATACTTAAATTCCAAGCGACATGTTTACAAAAAGAATGAAATTGAAAGGGGTTAAATAGAAAACAACAGGAGTCTGACATGTATTAACAAGGAGCGGAGGTTGGTGGTGTGCAAACTTTTCTAAGCATAGAAGCAGATGGCTGGTAACGAGGTCAAGGACTGAGGCTTACAAACCTGCATGAGGTAATCGGCAATGTATTCTGTTTTCAAGCAGTACATGTACTGGGCAGCAGCTTCTGCTATATTAAGTCCTGAGTCATCTGGTTTCAGTTTATTAAAGTCAGAAAAGAGATGTGTGGCTTCTTTAAATAAAGGCACAGAATGACCAGGTAGCACCTAAAGAAAAAGAAGCACCACAGCTATGAGTGTCCCAAAATAATTAAACTGTATGTCTGTACTTAGGGATTACCATCTCACAAAGCACAGGAATTAGGATCCGATCATAGCGACTTTACTTAGAAAGTAATGCATGTAAAACACCCAGTGAACTGGTTCAATACAAACCTTTGCTCCTCCAGACTGAAGCAGCCGTCTGAATCCGGCTTCTCGGTTCTGATCAGCAACATGTAAGATAACTTTCCACCCGCTAAATGCCCCCTACAAACATAAAACATTGTGTGAAATTAATTGGAAAGTAAATGCAGATAATATTTCATTTAGTTTTATGTCAACAAATAACCTTATAACCTTTATTCTGCCACAGTGCTGTCTCAGAATCCTCTGAAACACAGCCATGTCTGGCACACAGTAAACCACCAATAAATACTTGAATGAAGGAAAATGATTTAATAGGTAAGGTTAAAACAAAGCAACTTGTGTTTTTTTAAAAAAATATTTTCTAGTATTTTTTCTTATAATTAATCAAGGTAAAGCCTAAAGCACAGCTTCTTAGATTAGATGAAGACTCCAAATATATTTCTCTTGAAAATATTTACAAATAGGGCACACACAGTGGAATTACTCCAAAAGAAAGGGAGTCAAAGCTAACAAGGATGTGGAGAAGCAGAGAACTCAGAACAGAAAAAGATTATTACTCAGGGTTTAACCTTTTAAGCCATGGACCTCTTTTAATCTGGTAAAACTATAGACCGTCTCTAAGTAATTTGTGGGTTTTTTTTGTTTTTTTTTTTCAAATAGCAAATATCCAAAGTACAGAGGATTACATAGCAAATAATTTTATTAAAAATTACCTAATTATTAAATTATTTTAAAAATTGTGACATAATAGGTGTGTGCTTCTAACCTAATGTATTACAATGAAAGTGGTGAGTTGAATAACTACCTATAATTTTAAAGTAGTGAACATAAACACTTCAGGATACTTACATTATAATGCAAAGCAAAGCTATCGGACTTCTCTTAGGGCAGGATCACAGGTATTGTTACTAGTGTTGTGATTTGCTGCCCAGACTTATAACTACAGGAAATGCTTTTAATTAGAGGTTAGTAAAAACAAGGATGTATTGTTCCCCCATCTAGAGTGAATAGCCTTCTGAATTTAACTTCTTTGGGGAACTCTGTGGACGCCAAGTTAAGAAGCCCTGAAGCTAGTTGCTGAAAGGATTCTTTGGAATACGTATGGGTCACATTTTACATGTAAACTATTTTTAAAAGTGCTATCAACATTTTATATATATAAAATATAAAATGCCCAAACTATATCAAATGATAAAAGATAAATAGAATTATTATTTTTATCAAGCACTAGAATTATTATTTTATCAAGCACATTCTCTTAAACAATCTGGAGCAGTCATGACATTGAATGCCCTTTATACTACCTACATATCTGAGTATGTAATACCTCAACAACGCCCGACTCTTGACTCTGCTGGATCTTTTTCCTCCACCTCATCGCTGCAAGTGCTAGTTTGCGCTGCTGGGCACTGATTCCAGTCAAAACATCAAGGATGGAACTACTTCCCCACTCATAGTCTTCTTCCTAGAGAATTAGTCCAGCAAACCTTTTGAGTTCCCACAATTATGTCCTCAAGGAGTTCAGTCTAGCAAGAGTTTAAAACTATACATTCAATTGTTACATAGAGAATATGAACTAGAAATAAAATATTGTATACATTTCTCAGAAACACAGATAACCATAGCAATTGGTAATAGATTCCTGGGTTTTACCCACTGTAAGATGAACTTCACAGAAGGACAGACTCAGAGGATGTAGGTACTAACAGCTTCGTTACCTGTCTAAGAAGTGATTCCTAAGAGATTTGATTAAAAATTTCAAAACTACTAGTATGACAGCAACAATTGTGATGGTCAGATAGGAACCAAAATATTTCATATTTAACTGGCTAGCAGTAAAGCTTACAGTGAGATCATCTTAATATTTTCAAGTGTTATTTCAATTAAAAAAAAAAAACAAAGTAAATCAGCCCTAGCTGGTTTGGCTCAGTGGATAGAGCGTCGGCTTGCGGACTTAAGGGTCCCAGGTTTGATTCTGGTCAAGGGCATGTACCTTGGCTGCGGGCACATCCTCAGTGGGGGGTGTACAGGAGGCAGCTGATCGATATTTATTTTTAAAAATATATATATTGTATTTTATTGATTTTTTACAGAGAGGATAGAGAGTTAGAAACATCGATGAGAGAATCATCCATCAGCCGCCTCTTGCACACACACACACACACACACACACACACCCCCACCCCGGGATGTGCCCACAACCGAGGTATACACCCTTGACTGGAATCGAACCTGGGACCTTTCAGTCCGCAGGTCGACGCTCTTTCCACTGAGCCAAACCAGTTTCGGCTGATCCGATGATTCTCTCTCATCGATGTTTCTAACTATCCTTCTCCCTTTCTCTCTGTAAAAAAATAATATATATATTTAAAAAAAAAGTTAATCAAATTGACATAGCTAGCAATCTATAATTCTAAATTTTGAGGGCTTTGTTAATGTGGACCTTTTTGGTCATATTTGGTTATTTCAATGACACAAGTGGTCTGTGTATGTTTTGCAATCAATTAAGATATTCACTTTTAAAGAACAAATTAAGATATTCTCTGTAAATTTGAATACACACCGCCACAAAACGCCCAGCCGTCCTGCAGGCTTCCAGGTAGGAGCGATGAAGAACCCACTTCCCAGCCGCCACTGAGGCTAAATACTTCTCATTTCGAAGCGGATGTCCCACAATAATATGGGTGCAGCTGGGATCGAAGGACTGCTTCTCTATTACCAGTCCACCTGAAGGAGAAAAATTGGGAGATTTTCTTATTTAGCCACAATGCCATTATCAGACCTAAAATAATTAACTAATTCTTTGCTCAACTTTTAGATTGGCACTTGTTTAGTACAATTAAGATATTTAAAAAGAAAAACAAAATACAAAAGAAGGGCCATATACTGCAGTTAGCTGCTAAATTTCTTAGGTATTCAATTACCTTACCAATTTTAAGCACTGAATATAGATAACCAAAGAGACAGTCAAAAAGGGACACCTGCAGAATAAAAGCAGAAAAAACACTTTCTGTGAGTGGAAATAAGGTCAGTTGACCATAGAGAAGCTTGGGAGGAAAATACACAGGCTGAGTAAAGAGACAAAGCAGAAGGCAGGGCTGAAATCTCTTCTCGGGTACAAATGGGTGAAGCCTGACTCTGAGAGACAAAAGGAGACATAAATCTAAGCTCCTGCAAAGCAGGGTGTTGACTCATACTTTAGAGCTTACTAGTGTACTGGTTAATAATGGTGGATTTTGTAATCAAAGAAAACACGACAATTTCAAGAGAAACATGGAAACATCAAAAGTGCTTTTTTAAAGTAATGTCAATTGCTAGCTACACTTCCCCCATCTTTCAGGTAATTTGTGGATACTGTCCCAATAGAACTTTTCTTGAGACCATTCAGAGATCAAATTTTCCACTTCTTCGTATACTTTGAAGTGCTGCTCAGAAAGTACGTTTGCCATCGATCAGAATAGTGGTAATCTGAAGGAGCAAGGTCTGGTGAATATGGCTGGTGGGTTAATACTTCCAGGCAAGATCTTTTAAAGTGTCTTTAACTGGTTTTGAAGTGTGTGATGGTGTGTTACCATGAAGCAAAATTACTTTGCCATGTCTCCTGGCATATTCTGGTTGTTTTATGATCAAAGCATGGTTCAAATTGATTATTTGTTGTCGGTAGCAATCACTATTAACGGTTTCACCTGGTTTTAGGAGCTCATAATACACCACACCTTCCTGATCCCACCAAATGCAGAGCACGGTCTTTCCGAAGTGATTTGGTCTTGCAGTCGATGTTGATGGTTGACCTGGATCAACCCGTGATTTTGAGCCCTTGGGATTCTCAAAATATATCCACTTGTCCTTACCAGTCATAATTCAATGCAAAAAGACTTTTGTGCCGTTGAAGCAACATTTTACTGATGACTTTTCGGTTTTCTATTTGACTTTCGTTCAGTTGATGTGGCACCCATTTTCCTTCCTTTAAAATCTTTCCCATTTTTTGTAAACGATTGGAAATTGTTTGCTGAGCAACATTTAATCTTTCTGTAAGTTCTTTTTGAGTTTGACACGTATTTTGTAATTGTTCATCTTCAAACTTTTGGTTGACCTGGACATTAAAATCGTCACTTTTAAAGCGTTTAACCCAGTGTTCACAAGTATCTTGAGATAGAGCATGTTCACCATAAGCTTCCCAAGTTCACCATAAGCTTCCCAAAGTATATAACTTTTTCTTCAAAAAAAATGAATTAAAACTTCCCGCAAATGTTTTTTTTTTTGCACAAAATTTGAAATTTTTAAGCGTAAGAATGTTAAAACACCTTCAGCAAATTTGACATATGAAGTTTTGAAGCTAGCTGTCAACATAACAAAAGCATACATATCAAATTGCATATGTATCAACATATGTGTAACTCCATCTACTGAAAAAATCTGCATTATTAACTGATAAACTTAGTAGCTTGACTACTGGCTGGGTGAAGATGCAGCCAGGACTTTGTAAGACTTAACTTTTATTCATTTATTTATTTATTTATTTTTTATCTCAATCTTTATTGTTCATATTATTACAAAGGTTCCTCGTTTCTTCCCCATTCCACCAGGTTCCCACCCCACCCTCCGCCCCCTCCCCACCCCCCATTGTCCTCGTCCATAGGTGCACAGTTTAACTTTTGAACTCTGCTTTGGAGATGACTAACAGCAGCAGCAATACTTTTTAAGGACTTACTATGCCAGACAATGTTGAAAGTAGTCAAGATTGTTAGCTCATTTAGTCCTCATAAGTTTATGCCAGACAATGTTGAAAGTAGTCAAGATTGTTAGCTCATTTAGTCCTCATAAGTTTAAGCAGTAACTATTATCTACAATTTATATATGGGGACACAGAGTAACTCACCCAGGATCAGAAGTGCTAATAAGGTAGAAATTCCATATTAATATCATATCGATATCTAACTAGACAATCTAATAGACTGATTTGTGTCTATCAGTTCACCAGTGTTCACTCATGAAGTGAAGGGCCTCTGCATTCTCTATCAGAAACCCTATAGCCACAGACTCCCAATTTCAGCACAATCTATACCCAGATGCCCCCGTGCTGTCCTCTTCCAGACAATTTCCTAACTGCTGCTACTCTTGCCCAGAGCGTGCACAGATGGAACCATCTACAGGAGACACTGTGCTTTGCCCAGAGCTCACCAAACTGGAACGCTCATCAATTCTGACTTATTAGGCGACTGGGTCACAACATGTTCCACCTGAATAAAGTTTCCAAGAAAAGGCCTCTCAAGTGTACTCTTGTACACATGACAGAAATCTTTAAATAAACATACCATAGTTCTCCACGTCCTTAAAAGGACAGACAGCACTAAGTATGTGGCCAGATGACCAAGTTATCTGTCTGGGACGCTCAGCGCTGCCTGTAGAATGATGTCAGATGGAGAGCCTGACAGCTAGTGGAATTTAAATATTATAAAAGTAAAACCACATTCCAGTGAGTCAGTGTATAATTTCATTGATTTGGACCAGGCTTTCATCAATGAACAAAAAGCATCACAAAAAGATTCTTAAACCTTAAAAGTTGATTTCAACTTAAATCTTTAATCCTATGACCCAGTACCTTTAAAAGGTCTAATTCTGACTCAATGTATAATGTAAAAATGATACCTAGTGTTTCATTTGCATGGACAAATTAGCTATCTTTTTTGTCTCAATTTCTATACAGTGATAATATCATCCACATTTGCCTTCTAAATAACTGTTACTGAGTGGGATGTTTTTTTACTTAAGTAAAATACTTGTACCTAGTTTCTCGATCAGATGACAATAATCAATACGTTCTTGAGGATTCAGAGATGACAACTGGAATGTATACTGTTTTTTTAAGCCTTCACGAGTCTCCTCTATTGTTATCTGAAATGGAAGAGTTTTCTTTTAGACAAAGTAACATTTAAAAAGTTATTAGGTATATAGTTCTTTCACAGTAACATTTAGTCTTCTGGGGTTATCAAATATGAAAAATAATACAATGCAAAGAAATGCAGTTTTCAACATTGTTGAACTCTTGCTATGGATACCAATAAAATCTGAGCGCCACATACCATCACTACCCAACAGCATCACCACCAGGCTAAGGGCAACAAACCTTTTCTCTCGGGTGTGGAGCCACTGGTGGGTTGGCCAAGGGGAACGCAATGCTGGGGGCCTGAGGCGTCGGGATCAGGTGGCTGTCTTTTGTTGGGGTTTCCAGTTCAGAGCGGGGGTGTTTTGGAGCTTCAGTCACATGCACGTTTCCAGGATCACAGACAGCTAAGGGCAATAAAACGTTGCGGTGTGATATTACCCAAACATGACTAAGAACAATTCTGGGAAAGAGTCTCATCTGTCTTAGCCAAGATGAAATTAAACACAAATTCTGGAATGTAGAAACTACATGCAAAAGAAGTGGCCTATTGCTAGAGCTTATAAATCAATGAAATTACTTAGTATTAAAAGGGCAAATGGTGGTGTCATCTGTGGGTTTCTGCCAAGCTCTCACCAATAAAAAGTATCCCAAATTTGTAAAATACTGTAAAAGCAAGGTTTCACTTGGGAGAAAATCAGAAGCAGAGATAAATCTATATATCTAGTACAGAGAAATATCTAACATTCTGTTTAAGATAAAGAAAGCCCATGGAAGAAAACAATAGGGGGATTCAGAAAGAAACTCAGACAAATCCAAAGAACAAGTGCAGTATGTGCTGCAAAGCTATAAGACTTAAATGATCGGGAGAAAAAACAAATGCAAAGAAGACTAGAATAAAAGAAACAATAACAGTAAAAATAATGCCTAATCCTAAATTTAAAAGTAAAAATGTATTTTTCAATTTGCTGATAAATTAATTACAATTATTTTTCTGATTAAGTTTAAACTAAAATTAGAAATACCTGGTGTTTCATTTGCATGGACAATTCAGAGAATCACAATGTGCTTATCTGTTAATTTTCAAGAGCCAACATGTACTTAATACAAAGTAAACATCTCGTTCTCATTACCCTGTTCAGCAGTTTTCAAACATTGGAAAGGCTCCTGGAAAGGAGAATCCTCCAAATTTCTAATGTCAACCTGAGGTTCGGAGTACTGTGTGGGGCAAATTGGCCACTGCAAATTGCTGGCAAGCCTGGCCCTCTCCTCTCTGGCTGTAGGGTCATCCCAAATGATCTGTTCGTTCTGGGAGGGCTCTGTGTTGATATCAGGCACTGTTTGACGAGACTGCCTAAGGAATGAAAGTGACAATTTTAACAGACAGCCCTAACAAAATCCACGTTCATAAATTCCTTTAGTTAGACGGTACATTTGTGGGTCACCTTTATATGCCTATCTAGCACACAGTAAGCACTTGACACTATTTATTGAATAAATAAACTTCGGGAAAGATTTTCTTTTTAAAATGTTTCTCCCAGAAACTTACCTGTTTCAGTGAGAAAATTAAACACATATTTGACTGAATGTCAATATATTTGAAACTTCAAATATGAATGCTGCATTTAAAAATGGCAGTTTTTCCAGATTCATAGAAGCATTGAACAGACTGTTAAACCTCAGAGGAAAGGCAGGAGGAGGGATAAGAAATCAACCAAAGGACTTGAATGCATGCATATCAGCATAGCCAATGACACAAACAGTAGCGGGGCGAGGGCCTGTGCTGGGGGACAGGAGCGGGTGGGGAGAGGTCAATGGGAGAAAAAGGAGACATATGTAATACTTTCAACAATAAAGAACTTAAAAGAAAAAATGGCAGTTTTCTTAATGATATATTATAGACTTAGGGAAACTTGGTAATGTTTTAGAAAACTGGTTTATTTTGCTTACTGGTAGCTGTATTTTCCATTTTATTTATTTTTAATTTTAATTTTAATTTTTTAAAAATATATTTTTGATTTTTTACAGAGAGGAGAGAGGGATAGAGAACCAGAAACGTCAATGAGAGAAACATCGACCAGCTGCCTCTTTTGCACACCCCCTACTGGGGATGTGCCCTCAACCAATGTATATGCCCCTGACCGGAATCGAGCCCCGGACCCCTTCAGTCCGCAGACCGACGCTCTCCCACTGAGCCAAACCGGTTTCGGCTGTATTTTCCATTTTTATCACTTGAACTAACAACTGTAATTTCATGGGAAGCATATTGTAAATGCTGCCTTAGAAGGACCTTTTAGCTCTTGTAACCAAACCTCCCAGAGTCGCAGGCAGACCAGCATGCTCTATGGTATAACTGTAACAATTCCCCTGGAGAGTAAATAGAATTCCAACTCCTTTCTTCCAAGATATATACATCAAATCTTTCAACATATATATGTTATACAATATATAACCCAATTATATTATATACAATCAAATTATATATATATGCATATATATATGTGTGTGTGTGTGTGTGTGTGTATATATATATATATATATATATATATATATATATATATATATATAAAACATTAATTAAAAAAACCTGATACCACTAAGAGTTCACTTGTCTCAAAAACAAGGAGGATAGCCTTTTATTCTCAGGGTATTTACTCTAACTTGGCACAAGATTTAGGCTCTCTATAATAATAAAACATAACCTGAAGTATATTAATAAAAAGCCATAGTTAGAGAATTAGCCTCATGAAATATACATTTATAAGATGAATGCATAATTTAATTCAAGATACAGAGGATTTTCTATCAGGAAAAGGATGATGTAATGCTACTGAACACACCACACTAAGATGTGTAACACCTTTCCTAGAAGACAGATTTGTAAAGAATACAAACTGTATGTACTTTCAATAAGAAACAGCTGTTTAGATCATGCCCCACTATGAAGCACTGCTTGGTAAGAAACCAAACCTGTGTCTGTTTCCTGCCCCCAATCAAGAATTCCAGAACTGCCGAAACCGGTTTGGCTCAGTGGTAGAGCGTCGGTCTGCGGACTGAAAGGTCCCAGGTTCGATTCCGGTCAGGGGCATTGGTTGTGGGCACATCCCCGGCAGGGGGTGTGCAAGAGGCAGCTGGTCGATGTTTCTCTCTCATCGACGTTTCTAGCTCTCTCTCCCCCCCTTCCTGTCTGTAAAAAATCAATAAAATATATTAAAAAAAAGAATTCCAGAACTGCTTGGAACAAGGGAGGGAAGTCAGAAAAGCGAGGAAGGTGGTGTCTGAATATACAGGGGTGGGCAAAAGTAGGTTTACAGTTGTTGTATGGAAAATGACTCAATAATTAACAATACAGGCATAAAATCTGGCCCTGGCCAGTGTGGCACAGTGGCTGAGCATCGTCCCACACACCAAAGAGGTCTCCAGTTGGATTCCCAGTCAGGGCGCATGCCTGGGTTGTGGGCTCACTCCCCAGTAGGGGGCATGTGGGAAGCAGCTATCAATGGTTCTCTCTTATTGATGTTTCTTCCTCTCCCTTCCTCTAAATTAAAAAAAAAAAAAAGACCCCCCCCCCCCCCCAAATTCTGTGTTTCACGTACTCACAACTATAAACCTACTTTTGTGAACCCTGAAGGTAGTTTGGCCTAAATAAGGCCTAGAGGTATAGTATAGCCCGTTTAGTGGTCTTGATAGTAAAGTGGAAGGTTAGACTTAAGTAAAAGAAACAAAACAAATTACAAACAAAACAGCAAACAAAACAGCAAAACTAGGCCTAACTCGTGGAACTGAGTCAGTAGGTTCCTGCGTAAGCAGCCACCTTTCTCTCAAGTCACGCAGTCACTTTGCGCTGCCACCGGATGAGTGATGGGCACCTACCTCAGGGCCTCCAGGACTCGGCTTCGTCCACTGCGGGCGGAGCGAGCGCTGTCGGGGGTTGAAGAAGCACTGTTACCACCACTTCTGGAAAGGGAGGTCCTTTGCCCTTGGGGCTTCACTATTGATGTTGCAGACATTATCTCCTGAAGCTGCTTTTGGATATTCTCTCTCATCTCGAAGGTCTGTGTCAGTGCTTGAAACATACACAAATATACCTATCAAGGTGAGTTTCTTCCTTTTTTTTTTTTTTTTTTTAAATCACAGCTTACTCATATTAACTGTTTTGTCTAGATTTGGTTGAGTGACGTGGCATTTACTGAATATTACTTACAGGCTACAGTAAAGGACTAAGACTATGAATACTGCAGAATACAAGGCCTGTGCATGAAAGAATCAGGAAGCCCTTCGAAGACACTCCGCTAAGACTTGCAGTGATTCTCTCCTGTAGAGCGCCCTGCCTGCTTCTTACACGCTCTCATTTAGATACTACAGTCTGAGGTTCACAACAGTCATTTAGATACTACAATCTGAGGTGCACAACAGTCATTTATGTATGCGATTTTCCCCAACGGTCCTTGAAAACACACCACACTATAATATACATATTTATATGTGTATACGTGTGTGTCTATATATATATATATTTAGTGTGTGTGTCCATATATATATTTTATAGACTAAACACAAATAGGTACTAAATATTCTTTGAATGAAGAGAGTAAATAAGTCATAGAGAAAGCTCGGGTAGGGTAGAATGAGTATGGAAATAGAAAATAATCCATTAAAAAGGGGACACTTTTAGTGACTATTCATTGCGGCACACTTTGTAATAGCAAGAAATTAAAATATCCTAGATGCCCGTCAACAAGGGACTGGCTAAGTAAAACGGGACACTCATGGAATGAATACTATACACTGCTGCCAAAAATTACTGAAGGAGCTCCTTATGTACCGATAATACTCCACAAGCTAAACTGTTAAAAGATCAAAGAACAAAACAACATATATAATAGTCTACCATTTATGTTTTTTTTCCATTGATTTTTTTTTTTAGGGAGGGAGGTATATTGACTAGTTACCATATTTTTCGGACCATAAGACGCACTTTTTCCCCCCCAGAAGTGGGGGGAAAAAGTCCCTGCGTCTTATGGTCCAAATATAGCCTAATATAGCCTACACATATACTTTAAAAAAAGTTTTTTTACTTGCCCGGCTCTGTGTGGTCTCTGTGTGCTTGCCCGGCTCTAAAATGGTTCTAAATGCTGCTGTTTACTTTACAGGGTTGATTACATGTGTTTATGACTGTGATGTTGGCTTTTAATGCACATATGACTGTGATGTTGGCTTTTAATGCACATAAAATATTTTAGGACACTATTTGTTTCAGAATCTTTTTTTCTTCATTTCCCTTCTCTAAAAACTGGTGCATCTTATGGTCCGGTGCGTCTTATGGTCTGAAAAATACGGTACCTCCTGTATGCACCCCAACTGGAGCCAGGGATGAAGCCTGCAACTGAAGTACATGCCCTGGACCAGAATCAAACCCGAGACTCTTCAGTCCACAGGCAGACACTCTAACCACTGAGCCAAAATTTGTTTTTTGTGTTTTTTTTTAAGTAGGCCAGGAGAGAATATACATATTTATGATCATGTATGCACAAACCAGCCCTTGAAGGATACACAAAAAAACTAACACTGAAAAGTAGAAGCTCTTCATACCTCCTCCTGTACCTTTAAAACCATGTGGTTAGTTTGCTCACTGGTTAGAGCACTGGCTCACAGACCAAAGGGTCTCAAGTTCATAATATATGTTAAAGATATATAAATATTACATATAGTAGAATTTTCTGAATATCACTGAAAAGAACTGAACCAAAGGAAAACAATTTTAATCACCAACTCCACCTACCTTTAATAAAATAGGGCTATTTCACTTAAGCCACTTAAAATTTTGAATATTATTACTTGATGACTGGCATGGGACTTCAATTAATCCTCAAATATATGTTTTGTTTCTGTTTAGCACCACAGAAAGTATTTTTCCATTTGATGCAAAGAAATTATAAATTTTTTTATAATTTAAAATACTTTACCTCCTTTAGAGTCATTGCTTCTATTTCCATTTAATGTTGCTACATCTTTGTTACTAGTGGTCATATTATCTATATCATTTTCTTCTACAGGCAAATGTTCTGGCTGTTGAAGGAGAAAAATAACAGTTGCTCAAACCAAGCCATTGTAGGTTTCACAGCCATATGTGATTATATGCTCTGCTAAAGAGGGGGAAAAGGTACCGTCCACATTACCTACCTCACCATTCTTTGTTGTCCCATCAGCTGAGAGTAGTTGACTATTACAGAGTCTGTCACCTTGCACTGCACTGATATCCAAGCTCATTTTGGGATTATACGTGTGTGGATACAGAGATTCGGGAAGGTGCTTATTCTCCTGGGCGCACTGCAATAGAATGGTGAGCTTTAAGCAGGACTGAAAAAATCTTACAGAATAAATGATGTTAAGTTGGTAAGGATAATCAATACATAAGGTAATAGTAACAGGATAAAAATTCAAAAACAGCAAAATTAGGTTTGGTTGTTTTTTTTGTTAATGGAAAATAATATGGTTGGTGTTTTTGTTAATCCTCACCTGAGGATATTTTTTTTCTACTGAGTTTTTTTTTAGAGTGTGGAAGGGAGGGAGGATACAGGAACATCAATTTGAGAGAAACACATTGATTGGTTGCCTCCTGCACATACCCGGACCTTGGCTAGGGATGGAACTTGCAACCTAGGAACATACACTTGACTAGGAATCGAACTGATGACCCTTCAGTGTGCAGGCCAATGCTCTAACCACTGAACACACTAGCCAGAGATTGCTAAATTAGTTTTGAAAACTAGTAAATACTAAAAAACCCATTATACAAAGGACAATTAAACTCTCATTTAAAAAATTTTTAATTTTTAAATTGCAGTTTATATTCAATATTGACCTCACTTTTTAATGTATAAAAATTGTTGCCCTAACAGGTTTGGCTCAGTGGGTAGAGCATCAGCCTGTGGACTCAAGGGTCCCAGATTTGATTCCGGTTAAGAGCATGTACCTTGGTTGCAGGCACATACCCAGTAGCGAGTGTGCAGGAGGCAGTTGATTGATGTTTCTAACTCTCTATCCCTTCCCTTCCTCTCTGTAAAAAAATAAAATATATATTTTAAAAAAAAGTAATTGTCATGTTTACTAATGTATAAAATCTAATTCTATTTCTATGCTTTTGCCAAGGCATCAACCACATTCCAAGGAAATACCCAGAAAGAGAAAAGACAGTTGTATTAATACACATTAATTATCCTTAAATTATTATACTTTTTTTTCATATCATTTCTCTTTAGTAAAACTGAATCAGAGATTCAGAAATAATACCTATTAAATACTTAGCAATAAAGATCTTTAGTTTTTGATGCCAAAGAAATGAGATGTGCACTGTTAAATAAGGTAATCAAACTTCTTTACCTGCACTGAAATTGGTTAATGCCTTGAAATAGTGTTTATATACATTTTCAACAGACATGGGAGGATAAAAAGTATTGCTTACTTCTAAAAGCCAGTGCTCTGAAACAATGTGTATTCCTCTTTCTTTTACAGATTTATATTCTCGATTAGCATCATTCTGCCGCCCTTGATAGATGAAATGAGTCACTGTCTCATCAAAATTCCACCTGAAGCAACCAAGTACAAAAACCAAATAACTAAGAAATATCTACATTAGTTTAAGATGATCATTTTCTATGAATAGAATATTTTGACCTTCACAAAATTTCAAGAACTAGCATAAGCAAGAATATTAGATAGGCTCCACTTTTTTGGTCAAATTTTATACATATATTTCTAAGTATATATATACACAGAGATATTTGGAAGGATGTACTTTAGAATATCACTTTTTTCTTTATACTTTTCTGTTTCAACTTTCTTATAATGGATATAGCTTTATAGTAATAATAAAGGTATTTTCAAATCCAAGCATTCAATCTGTCTTCAGTTGCTGGCAGTCACTATTCATTATCCACTTGCTCTACACCCCATAAAACATCTTGTAGTTTACACATATTTCTATACAGTCAGTCCTCACAATCCAGAAACACTGGTCTTATATAGATTTTACAAATAGAACTAAAGGATATGGTTAAGTTACACGTTCAAGGATATCCAGTAAGTTGACAGAACCAAGTTTGGCTTTAAAATCCACACTCTTAACTATTTTATTATGCTCTGATCTCCTGATTCTTCTTACATATTTTCCTGACTTAGAAAACACATAAACCCAGGTTTTTTTGTTGTTGCAGTTTTAATATACATTAGTATATCAGACATACAACTATTAAGTGAATGATGACTGTTACTTTGCTTAATTCCTGTCACATAACCAAAATGAATGCTGCTCATGGTATCTGTTTCAGCTGTGGCTGCAGCATTTGAGGTGAACTTCACATATGCATGCATGCAAATGAGTACTCCATTTTCTTGTGTCGGCAGGCACAGGCACTTACATACAAATCATATATTCTGATTTATTTTTTTAAATTATAGAAGTAGGTAAGTTACATATTTCTAAAGTTTTATACAGTGAATGTTTATTCAACATGTATAATAAATATCTGCATCTGATGTGCTGAGCAGCTCTGGTCTAGATGTTTACTGCTGAAGGGGGAGACAGGGTCAGTGATCTCTTCAGGAAGTTCTGGTCCTAGCTTATGGACGGGATATCTGGGATAGCTGCACTCAAGAAGTTATCCTACACACACAAAACTACTGTAACCTCTGCATAGTCAATGGTTCTTCCCTCTCAACTATCACCAAGACTGAAAAATCCATTTTAGGCATAGATTTAATATAAATGTTAAATTAATGCAATCGGCCAGTTAAATTCTATTTAGGAGTTTCAGCAATATATTCTATTTTTCATACTGAGAGGATTGACATTTTAAGTCTCATAAAAACAAGTCATGTATGTTCCTTTTATGTCTTACATCAAGTCCACATCCAAACAGTATCCAAGGAAATATTCAATTTACATATATATATATATATATATATATATATATGTGTGTGTGTGTATGTGTGTATACACACACTCACCCCCTTCATAGATTGTTATGAAAATGAAAACAAAATGAGATAATGCTCATACTAAGTGCTCAGCAACCAATAATAGGTAATATAATAGGTGACTAAATAACATAACAATAGATTATACTGTGTTACCTAATAGGTAGTATTATATAATACTTCACTGTCCTACAATAAATGCTTATAACTGTGACATTTTAATATTCTCCTGATCTAATTTCTTTCATCAAATAGAAAGCTAACTGAAATAACAGGACTGCTAAAGGGAAAGATGAAGCTAATCATAATCCTCAAAGTGTTTGCTACATTTAAAACAACTCACTATGCTATCTATGAATGGGTGAATACAAGTGATCAAGAAAGCTAGCACTCAGACAGTGGAGGAATCGGTCAACTCAGATTGGCCAGAACAGGCCCTGGCCAATTCTCTCACACTAATGCCATTGGTGCTGAAGACATGCCTTTAGTTTGGCTCTCAGGCTGAGAGCATATCTGCTAATCTATGTCTCCAAAGTAGTAAAAATCAAATTAAAACATTCACAAAAAGACCTATTTAATTCAGGAGTACTGCTAGAATACTTAGTACTACTCAGAGAGGGCTCTAATCTGAAAATCAGTAGGTAAAATTATGCTTAATCTCATAGCTACAACAGCGAATGGCACAAAATAGGTTGTCAAAAATTTGTTGAATGCACCCTAAAAGGCACACACGTAAGAGTGGACCAATATGGCAGAGGACATTTTAAAAGGATCTGGTGACTTAAAAATCATTTGGAGAGATTTTGTACATAAAATGACACACTAAAAAGGCAAAAGAAATGTTTCTTTGTAGGCGGTCACAGAGCTTGAAGTTTCCCTATAAACTTGGGCCATATCACCACCAATCAAAGACGTGCATACCTGTAATCTGCTCCTAGAGAAGCCGCAATCCCGTTCAGCTCACTCTGCTTCTTACTGAGTTTCTTACTAACACATACCACCGCCTTGTGAAGTGGCTTTGGAGCTTCTTCCTGTCCATGGAAAAGAGAAGGCATTGGCCATTACTATTTGAAATGTTTGCTCAGTCTAGAACATCTTTTTAGTAAGAGATCTAAATCTACCTTCTCTGACTGAGCATCCTTCAGTGGCGGGCTGGCAGAAAGAGCCACAGCATCTCGGGAGCTATTTGCCAAGGCAAGCTTCAAGTTTCTGCCAATGACTTCGGAGAGCGGTGTGCTCAGTCGCCTCTTCTTTTTGCTAGGCCCTCCTGGGGTTTCTAAGGCTGCCAGTGCATCCTAAAGGTACGGAGGGGGAGAGTGAAAGCAGGAGAGAGAAGTGGAGAAAACAGCCCAAGGAAGAAGAGGGGAAAGGAAGAGAAAAAGAAGAGTTAGAATGGGGATAATCCTCAAAATTAATTGGATTACAACTATAACCTCATCTGGTTTTCCTTCAAACAATAAAATGAAATATTATATAATATACACTACAAAGAAAATTCATACTGTCCAGCAAATTGGTTTAAAAAGACCAAGAAGCTTATATTTTCAGCAGTGTATGCCACATTTATCCAATTCTTACGTTTAAATTATAGTTTAAATAAAGGACAATCAAAACCAAAACAAGCAGACAAAAAACATAGGTGGAAACAAATGAGCAAGAATAGATATAAGCAAGACAAACTACAAGGAAGGTTAAGAAGTCAGACTGAGCTGAGACTTATGAAGAATCTTCAAAAGCACAAAGTATGCTCTTATGCCTAAGCCATCCACAGTTCCTGCACGAGAGGAGGTCACTGCTGTCCAGAGGCTTGCTCATTCTCTTTCCCATCTTAAAGCACAGTATCCCATGTGCACACACAATGTATTTAACAGTGCTCAACTGATTAACATTCAGAATAGCAATCTTTTGCCAGTATACTGACACAACGACTAACCTTGTACACACACCATTTTGCACATGAAAGAGTAAAAACCATTTTAATAAAATGTATGTACCAATGCTGACATTCTCCTGAACAAAGCATTTGAGTGTATACTTTTCAATATGCTTGACAGCACAGTGGGTGGGTTAAATATATTTGTACGTTTCAATTTCTACCCTCATACTAAATGAGATTAAACATCTTTATGCACATGGAATATTTCTATTTAAAATTTTTTTTATAGCTATCCCTTCCTATCCTTTGCCCATTTTTCCACTGGGTTATTAGTCTTTTTTTATATTCACTTACATGAAGATATTTGCATGAATTTACATATATATATGTATATACACACACACATACACACTCACACACGTTCCCTATTTGTACTTTGTGAAGTTTTTGCCATGAAGAATTGCTTTTTAAACAATTACTGCACATTTATGAAATTTTCATATTTAAATGCAGATAACTGGCTCAGTGGTTTGGCGTCTACCTATGAACCAGGAGGACACAGTTCGATTCCCGGTCAGGGCACATGCCCGGGTTGCTAGCTCCTTCCTCAGTGTGGTGCAAGAGGCAGCTGATCAATGATTCCCTCACGTTATATTTCTTTCTCTCACCCTCTCTCCTTCCTCTCTGGAACAAAAAATAAATAAATGGAGCTTTTTATTACTGTCAAATTCATATGAATTTTTATTTTCATTTGGGGCATGATATAGTTAGAAAGGTTTTCCTCACATTGAATTATTTAAAAATAAACTCATGGTCTATACTAGAGTTTTTATGCCTTCATATCTCGTGTTTAAGTATCTGATTCTCTGCTATTTATTCTGATGTGAGGTTATGAAGTCTCATATTCCTGATTTCTCAGTTGTCTGATTGAAATACATCACTTATTACATAATAAATTCTATCTATGGGGTGTAATCTTGTGCATTAATTTGATAATTCATGTGACAATAACTGCTTCAATTACTGCGACTTTGTTTCAATAACTAGAATTAGTTCCTATCCTCAATTATTCTTTTCAGATTTTTAATACTACAGTAAAACTTCAATATAACAAACTAATTGGGACGAGGGCATGTCCTTAAAGCTGAAAGTCCGTTACATAACTAAGTAGGTTTTCCGAATGTGTATGTTAAAGAATTGACAATCTAAGGGAAAAGAGGTCAGTGCCCCTGACTAAATAGTCCAGTACTGCATGCTTTAAAAATTCTGTGGCTGTGGCACACAATTGAAAAATCACTGCTCTAAAAAATGAAAGCTTTCAAAGTGTTTTGTAACTTTACAGAAACTTTCAGAACCACCAACTTTCCTCTGCAAGGTATCTAAAAACAGGTCTAAATGACTGAAAATATTTCATCTATTTTCCTGCCTACTAATATTACTTCATTTACTACTCAGATTCTATGAACTATGAGACCTTAGAGATCATCTACGTATATTCCACCATTTTACAAGTGGAAATAATGAAGCCCAAAGAGCTCCTGATTTCACACCATCTCTTTCTCTGTTACCAACAACAGGTACAAACTGGGACTCTACTCCATAATATGCACCTACTTGCCAACATCTTTGGAAAATTTACTGTAAGCATTAGAGAGGTGATGCAGAATATGGTGCTTAAACCATGAAACTGTCAATTCCAGGACCATTTTCTAGAAACCTTACCTTTACATCAAAGGAAGGCTTGAAGAGTTTGTCCTTGGACAGGAATTTCGACGGCGTGTCCAGGTCTAACGAGGGCTCCTTCTGCAGCGGCTGAGCTGTGGGCGCGGGCTGTGGGGCCTGCCCCGTGTGCTGCGAGATCACAGCTCGGAAAGCTTTACTCTGAAAGCGGTTCATATCTAACGGAGTCACAGCTGCTTTCCTGTGAGTTTCCAGGCTCGTGGCCGGGTGCTCCGGAGCATCTGAGTTTAGATTCACCCCATTTGTTATTTCAGTTTCTAAGCTTTGCTCTGGAGATTTGAAAAGAAGCAAATGTGAGCCATTAATGTCAACTGTTTTTTCTCTAAAGAGGCACATGTGAGATTTTTACCTTACTGTTAATTTTTATACAAATTCTCAAGTATACTTTAAATCACAAAGTTATATACCTACTTTTTATAGAAACTGACCAGATGATGTATTAAAATATGTTGAGTTAACCCTAACTGGTCTGGCTCAGTGGATAGTTAGCCTACTGACTGAAGGGTCCCGGGTTTGATTCCAGTCAAGGGCACTTGCCCAGGTTACAGTCTTGACCCCCAGTAAGGGGCATGCATGAGGCAGCCGATCACTGATTCTCTCTCATCATTGATGTCGGTCTGTCTATCTCTCTCTTTCCTCCTCCTCTCCCCCTTACTTCCTCTCTGAAACCAAAAAAAAAAAAAAAAAAAAAATTAAAAAAGAAAAAGCCCAGCTGGTTTGGCTCAGTGGATGGAGCAGGGGCCTGCGGACTGAAGGGTCCTGGGGTTCAATTCTGGTCAGGGGCACACGCCCGGATAGTGGGCTTGGTCCCTAGCAGGGGGCATGTAGAAGGCAGCCAATCAATGATTCTTTTATCATTGATGTTTCTATATTTCCCTCTCCCTTTCTCTCTGAAATAAAATAAAAACTGATCCTCTTAAAAAAAATGTTGAGTTAGACAAGCACATTAACTGAAATAATGAAATCAGATTTCCCATTTCAGCCTGTTGTAACTTGAAATATTCTCAGTAAACTTCACAATTTGCCAAAATATTAAATGTCATCGTAATCATTGGCAGAATAAAGAAAATTTTAAATTACATGTACTCAGAGTTAGCAAGTAGTGAAGTTTCTGGAAAAGTCCTTAATGAAATTTTAATATGACCAAAACATCACTTTGCCTCAAATGGAAAATTTCTAGGCTGCCTAGTAAGTAATGGCTCTGAGAGCTGTTCTCAAGCTGCTGAATTGTCTGAAGTTTGTCCAGGGACCCTACCGTCTTATACGAGGTTGGCTACTGGGTCCTTCCACCCGCCTTCTCCTGTTTTCCAACATTTAACAAACACATTAGATGGCTACTCCATGCCAGGCTCAATGCTAGCCGATGGAAACACAATGCCCAAGACATGCATATTCCTTGCTTTTCAGAGCTTACAGTTGAGTAAACTATAGCTATAAAGGGGGTAATTCAGGGTGTAATGGCAAGACAAAGGCCAGACTTGGTGAGCAAGGAAGGCTTCCCAGAGAAAGCGACATCCAAGCTGAGAACTGAAAGATAAAGAGGAACAGGCAGGAGGTGGGCTAGGGAAAACAGAGTCCGAAAATGAGGAGAGAGAACACTAATCACAGTGTGTCCGTATGAGCCACAGAAGGGACACGGAAAAGGGATCAAGACGCAAGGCTTAAACTCTGAGCCCCTAGAACGCTCCTATATTGTTGTGCACCCGCTACTTTCAGACAGTGCCTACACTTGCTAGTACAATTAAAAATTAAACATTTGTGCTATGAACACACATTTATTTTTCCACCCAATAATAAATAAAAAGTGGCTCATTGTGCCCATTGTGAAAAGTAGAAATCAATGACCTTACCTAAAAATAAGCTCTGACACCCAGAAACCATCTAACTGTAAAATCATTTATGTATAAAATAACAAAAGCATTAACCTTTAGTTGAATTTTCAATCAGAAAATGGTTTTCAGTCGCTCTCTTTCCCAGTCTAGCAGTCTCCAACAGCCATGCTATAGTAACCGCCGGTAAATTCCACTTCTTGGAAGCTTCATATTTAGAACCACTTGGTTCTTTCAACACAAGATGTGTACTAGCAAACATGCCTTTCTTTGCATTGGATTTGCGAACAAAGAATTCTTGAACGCTAAAAGTTGTATTTAAAGAAAAGCAAATGGTCATATACACGATCACACAAACTAAGAATGAAGTTTCTAACAACAGTGTTGTCAGAGTTTAATGTATAAATACTGATTAAAAGTCAGTTCTATATCTTAAAATAAGCTAATACCCTTACTACTCTAGAATAAAAATGTATTCATACAATTACACTTTTTTATAAAAAACATAAGCAAATTAATTAAACTAGACTTTCAAGAAATAACCAAAAAAATTGCCTCCTTCATTAGTCATCACCCACCCACCTTGTCCTTTCCCCCCAAAAAGGGACATGAACACCTAGAGGAGCAAAGAAAAGTATATGAGTAACATTATATATTTTAGCCAATTATAGCTGCTCAAGGGGAAATGGTGAACAACATAGACTGATGGACAAGAACAGACCCAGAGATAAGGAGGCATGGGTCAGACTGTTGGATCTTAAAGGGAGGGTGGGGATAAAAGGGAGAGATCAACCAAAGGACTTGTGAGCATACATATGAGCCTAACCAGTGGTCAAGGACAATTGGGGGTGGGGGCTAGGGTGGGGAGGGGTGGGGGATTGGAATGAGGGGTTGAGGACAACTATGTGATACCTTAATCAATAAAGAAATTAAAAAAATAAAGATAAATAAAAAATAAATTCATATTGCTAGACTGAACTTCAATGATTAAATTTTGAAGACTTTTTTTTAGTTTTTAAGTCAAATATTTAGTATTTCAGTTATCTTTTTTGCTATTTGAATAAAGTCATCATATACTTTTAAAAATAACAAACAAAAAAACACCAAACAACTGCTCAAAGCATTTTCACATATAATCTCATTTGATCCTCTCAATATTTGTAAAATACCAATTATTGTACAAAATATGGTAAAGATACAGCCTGGGAAAAGATGAGAAATTAATGACTTGCTTAAAATCACAGAATAGTAAACCAGAGAATGTGGTGGCAGAAACAGAAGTCTACCACTTGAGGTAAATATAAACAGATTTCAATTATTTCTTTTATGACTTCTGGATTTTATGTTCAATTTCCCCACTTTTAAAATTTAACATTCTACAGTTTTCCCTAGTATTTTCATTTTTCACATCCAACCCACTGATCCATGAAGTCTATTGTCACATTATTTTCTACAATTTCATTTTTTTAAGGAGCACTGTGCTGTTTAATGTAATTCAAATACAGAATACAGCAGAAAAGGAAACAGACAATTCAATAAATTATAAAGCTGGCCACCACCAATGTCAGAAGAAAAATCTCTTGCTAGCCACTTCAGAACCTTCGAAGGTGCTTTCAGTTACAACCTCCTTTCATCTCTTCTCCATAGTGGCCACTATTGGAATATTTATGGTAACCGTTTCCTTATCTTTCTTTATTCTTACTACATAATGCATCCTCAAACACTACATTTAGTTCAGTTTTTTATCTTTTAGCTTATACGTTCCTTCTTACTCCCATTTAACATTTGCATTTCTGGCTAAAATAATGCTTAGATAAGCAAGCAATATTCAATAAAGGCACACATCAGCTTTAAATACTCCCTTTCCTAGCAGATAAGCATTAATGTCTCTAGTCTTTTTTCTTTCTTTCTTTTTTTTAAAAAAATATATCTTATTGATTTTTTACAGAGAGGAAGAGAGAGGAATAGAGAGTTAGAAACATCGATGAGAGAGAATCATCAATCAGCTGCCTCTTGCACACCCCACCCCGTACTGGGGATGTGCCCGCAACCAAGGTACATGCCCTTGACCGGAATCGAACCTGGGACCCTTCAGTCCGCAGGCCGACGTTCTATCCACTGAGCTGACATCTAGTCTTAATGTCAGCCAGGCATCCACTTGGTACACTCGCCCTTCTCCCTTTGAGCCATCACATAGATACACTGCACACTACCCATACTAGGGTAAATATTATAAAGACATGCAGCCAAATTCTAATTTGAATGCTTTCCAATAAGTCAAAACAAACAAAAGTACATCAAGACAGTAAGTACACTAAAAAAATTACATACCTTGCTCCAAGGAACTTTGCTAAGAATGTCAATGAATCCTTTTCTGCTCCCACACACTGGCTGAAGGAAATAACACAATCCTCTAAAGGAGTCATTCCTGCCATTACTGGGATTGGCTTGAAGAGAGGACTTGACTTGGGATCCATTAAAGTCTGATACTCTATACAAGTTACCTTAAAAACAAGAGAAACACATCAACCTGAAATAAGCAACCAGTGGCTAACACTGTTTCAGTTATAGCAGCAGTAATTTTGGTTTAGATGAAAAGCAACTTTAACATAAACTTGTGTATGCTCATTCTCATTATATTTTAAATAACATGTAAAGAAATATGTCAATTTGTTAAATATTACATTATGAAATATTAAGAATATTAAATCCAGTCAGGCTTATTGAAGTTATTGAATATTGTTTCAAATTTGATTTCTTTCAATGTATTAGTTTATAATTTTTTCCCTCTAAATTCTTGAAAAGTTAAAAAAAAAATCAATGCTGAAATTACCAGTGATAAGCCAACAAGATGGAATACAAAAGTGCATGTCATGCTTTGGTTGTGAGAAAACCAGGAAAATTGTATGAGATGACCTGGAGTAACTCCCTAACAAGAAATGTTGCTGCTTTGGTCCCTGGGAAACAATAATCTCTACCAAGATTAAGACCCAGAAGCTTGAATATTTTCATATTTTACCACTTCCTTTGCTAAAAGAAGACCCCGTCACTCACTGCCCATACCCAAACACCAATTTACCTAAATTGAACTGATAAGAAATAAACATGAACACTCTCGGCATTCATATGTATTTTCTTACCAGCCACGTATTTGTAACAACTTCTCCCACAGTTGCTTCTATTTCAGACCCCAGCAGAGGAACCACAGCATAATCGGCAACAATTCTGCTCTGAAGGGATACAGTTGTTCCAGCATTTTCTCTTATGGTAGTTGCAATGTTAGACTCATTTTCATTATTAAAACCCAAAACAAGGAAACTCTTTTGGCTGAATAAACCTTCTTCAGTAATAACTGTGGAGTAATCAGGGGGGCCGTGACTGACAGAAGATTGGTTTTCTTCTTGCAGAGAAATGTGAGTAGAATCATTACTGGGCTCAGCATGAGTGATGTCATTCAAGGCCCCAACTTCAGACTTTGCAGCTTCAACTGGAAGAGAAACAGGAATGTTTTCTAACAGATAGTTTATCTTATAAAGTTACTTTCTAGCAAGGATATTAAAGATAACAGAGTCTGAGAATTGTGACTACCCTTAAAAACTAAGGCTTCAAGTACACAAATGCATAAAGTATACAATACCACCCCATCTTCTGGATTATCAAGAATGTTATTAGTATTACCATATTTCATCAGGAAGGTTATCAGCAATCATGTTACCATTCTAAGTACTCCTAGCATACTAGAGACTCTCATTAGTTGAGAATTGTGAAACTAATCATCCCAAAGTATGTCTTAGTTCCAAAACTGGTTTAGATAATTCATATTAGAGAGAATATCATTAAAGAAAAAACAGAAGTTAACAGGCCTAAAATAGTGAAGCCATTTACATAGAAATAACTGACAAATGTAATAATAAGAGAACTATGGTTACTTCTCTTTTACAAATTCCTAAAATGTTTTATATTGAAACTAGAGGCCCAATAATGCACGCCTCTGCCTCGGGGTCTCCCCCACCATGGCTTCGTCTGGTCTTAATTAGCATATTACACTTTTATTATAGAAGATTGGAGCTACTATTTAGATCCTATTTCTTAAGAGAACTGATCAAGGCCCCAAACAAACGATCTTAACTTTTTAAGATCAAGTTGCTAACAGATGGGTAGTAAAAGAAAAGACATAGCTATATAAAAGTATAAATGTCGCCGAGACTGGTTTGGCTCAATGGATAGAGCGTCGGCTTGGGGATTGAGGGGACCCGGGTTCGATTCCGGTCAAGGGCATGTACCTTGGTTGCGGGCATATCCCCAGTAGGGGGTGTGCAAGAGGCAGCTGATCGATGACTCTCTCTCATCGATGTTTCTAGCTTTCTGTCTCTCTCCCTTCCTCTCTGTACAAAAAAAATCAATAAAATATATTTAAAAAAAAAATAAAAGTATAAATGTCAGTAGCTAAAATACGCAGCCCCTAGTATGCAATAAACATTGTCAGATCAAGGGTAAAAGTTTAAGAGGTAAAAATTTAGTGCGTTTTTGAAAACTCTAGTGGTGCCACGCTGGAAGGTTAACATTTTACAGTAAGAATCAGCAAACTACAGCCTAGATGCCAAAATGGGCCTCTCACAGTCTGTGGGTTAAGAATGGTTTTTATATTAAAAAAAAAAGATTATAAAAACAGAATACGTGATAAGAGAGAAAATGGCTGGCAAAGCGTAAAGTACTTACCATCTGACCTTTTACAAAAACGGTTTGCTAACCCCTGCTATATGGGATTCAAGCAAGACTGGAAGCTATTCGATTCTTCATTTATCCATTTTTACCAGCACTGTGCACAAGTGTTTTACATGCATGTAATTATGCTCATGATACTCTGGGGTTGGCACTATTAGTGTATCTATACCCTTTCTCCAAGCGAAATTCAGGCTTAAAAAGGTTATGTAACTTGCCTGAAGTCAGTTATTTAGTGGCAAAAGTGATATAAACCAATATCTGTGTGGCTCCAGAGTCCATAACATTATTATAATGGCATCTTCTTATTTCTATTCTCATCTCAAATAGACATTAAATTTTTCACTTTTAAACTAGTCACTGCCATACGTATATACTAGCAAATATGTTATATACAAACATATATAGCTTATTCCTACATAATGAAATTAGTTAAATTGCTCTGAAGAAGTATAGTTTTGTCTAGAGCATTTACTGACCAGGTCAGGAGACTCTTTGATACTCAATAACATACTATAATGAATAAAAAGGATAATAGTATATGTTTATAATTTATGGAGATATATGAGGATAAGTAACCTTAGCTGGAAATAAAGGTGACATGATAGTATAAAACATTGTGCAAAGTAGTTTTTTAATAGTTATTCTTGTTTTAAAAAAATATGCTTTTATTGAATTCAGAGAGTGAAAACATCAATGATGAGAGAGAATCACTATTCGGCTGCCTCCCCAATACCCCATACTTAGGATTGAGCCTAAAAGCCCAGGTATGTGCTCTGACCAGGAATCGAACTGTGACCTCCTGGTCTATAGATAAATGCTCAACCACTGCACCACACCAGCCCAGCCAGAAAACATTTTTGAACAGTTAAACAAACAACCATGCTCCTATCTTCTAGGACCAGCTCTCACATCAATGTTTCTCTTCCTTCTCTCTCTAAAAGAGCTTTTCAAAGCCAGCTACAGAGACTATGAAGCTGCCTCAGGAGCAAGAGCTGTCATAGAAAAATGGGACAAAATAAAAAAAAAAAAAGGTGGTAGACTATAACAAAAATATATCACAAATAGCAATAAAGGTAAATCAGTCAAATTTACAGTTAAAAAAAAAAAGTCAGTTATACTAAATGCTGATCCATAGCAGGAAGGGATTAATATCAAGCAAAATGGACTTTAAGTTTAAAAAAACCTTCAAAATACATAAAAAACTAAATTTGAAATTCTGACACATGCTAAAACACAAATGAATCTTTTTCTTTTTGACAAACTATTTTTAAAAATTGTTATGGAAGCAAATGTACAAAAAGACTTGTACACTTTTGTAAAGAAAACTGGAGTCTAGCCAAAGCCGGTTTGGCTCAGTGGTAGAGCATCGGTTTGCGGACTGAAAGGTCCCAGGTTCGATTCCGGTCAAGGGCATGTACCTTGGTTGCGGGCACATCCCCAGTAGGGGGTGTGCAAGAGGCAGCTGGTCAATGTTTCTCTCTCATTGAGGTTTCTAGCTCTCTCTCTCCCTTTCTCTCTGTTAAAAATCAATAAAATATATTTAAAAAAAAAAAAAGAAAATTGGAGTCTTAATTTCAAATAGCCGAACACATTGCAAGACTATTATAATAAGACAGTTTACTAGTGTGGGATCTCAATAGAACAGAATGAAAGCCTAAACAGATCCCCACCTAACAACTTTAAAATGACAGAGGCAGTAGTGCTAACTAGTGGAGAAACAATGGACTACTTAATAACAAGTATTAAAAACAAGTGATTATCCACATGGATAAAATACAATTTGAAAAGTTCACATCAAATACAAAAATCAACTCCACATGGAATGAAGATATGTGAGAAAGCAAAAGCTTAAGACTTCTAAGATATATATAAGGAATAACTTAACAGTGGTACTCTAAGGCTGTTCTGCCTCAACGCAGCTCAGGGTCTCGAGGCGGAATGAACCAAACACCAAGTGGTGGGGAGAGGTCTTAAATACAAAAGTACCTGAACTTTCTAGGGCCAGGATGTGGGCCACACAACAGCAGGGGGCACTACTAACACAGACCACTTGTAAGTCCGCAGCTTGACAGAGTAACATGGCAACTCCTCTTGGGAGGACAGTAGTCATAAGTCCATCAATTAAAATGCCTAGTGTTCTGCCCTAGCTGGCTTGGATCAGTGGATAGGGCGTCCGCCTGAGAACTGGAGGATCCCGGGTTCGATTCCCTCGAAGTAACGGCCACATGGTCGGGCTGCAGCCTCTATCCCCAGTAGGGGGCGTGAAGGAGACAGCCGATCAATGATTCTCTCATCATTGATATCTCTATCTCTATCTGCCTTCCTCTCTAAAATCAATAAAAATATTTTTTTAAAAGCCTAGTGTTCTGTTTAAGAAAACTGTAATGTGATTAAATGACATTAGAAATAAAAGCAATGTAAAAAAGGAATAACTTTATGACTCAGGGTAGGAAAACTTACATAAAATAGAAAAGCACAACCACAAAAAAATAGAAAAATTCAACTACCTTAAAATATTATGGCCTAAACAACAAAAATATTATGGCCAAATAGCACTCAAAATGACAATGAGATCTTACTTTACATCCGTCAAACTGGCAGAAATGTCAAGCTTACAAGAAATACTAAATATTGAAAGTATGTTCAACATGAACACTTACTATCATTCTAGTGTGAAGTGGTAAACAAATACAAATCAATTTGCATTATATAAATACATATCCCATGAATCAACCATGCCCGCCTTAGAAAAATTCTTGCTCATGTGCAGAAACATGCATAAGAACAATCTCAGTAGTATTGTTTGTATTGGCAAAGAAAAGATAATAAAAATGCCCATAAGTGGGAAAATGGCTACATTATAGTGTGCTCATACAGCAGTGTGGTATTTTCTTAGTACTTGGATCAGATGAATATCTCACATTTAGAGAAAGAAAGTAGAAAGGAGTACATACCATCTATCATTTAAGCTAAAATATATACAAAATGAGCAGTGTATATATGTTGTTTACATAGGTTGTAAACTATAAAAAGATGGGGAGGAATTCACAGGCATAGAATATTTTCTTTTTTTAAAGCTAGATATACAGTTACTAATCATATTATTCTTTATATCTTTTTGGATGTATTAAATCTTTTTTTTTTTTTTTTTTTTTTTTTAAGGAGATGATGCTAACTACTCTTCAGTGGCAATTTCCCTACCACACTGAGCAGAATACCCACTGAGGTGGCAGTAGCCCACAGTATAGCACTGTCTGCACTAAAAACCACAATAATCCAGTAAGAGATTTTTGTTACAAGGTTAAAACGTTATAAAATAGTCACAGGGATGTAAAGTACAACATACGGACTACAGACAATATCAATATAGCGATGCATGGTGCAGATGGATACTTGAAAGATTGGGGGTGACCGGCTGGCATGGCACAGTGATTGAGCATCAACCTATGAACCTGGAGGTCCCGGTTCAATTCCCAGTCAGGACACATGCCTGGGTTGCTGGCTCAATCCCTACTGTGGGGCCTGAAGGAGGCAGCTGATCAATGGTTCTCTCTCATCGTTGATGTTTCTCTCTCTTCTTCTCCCTTACTCTCTAAATCAATTTAAAAAAGAGGGAGAGATTCGGGCATCATTATGTAAAGTATGATTGTCTAAACACTATGCTGTACACCTGAAACTAATACAAAATATTGGATGTAAACTATAATTTAAAAATAAAACTTCATGCTGTTATAAACTCACACAAATCAAGTGATGCAAATACAAAACAGAACAAAGCGGAGCCCTTGAGTTGAAGAGAGAAAGGGGGTCTGAGGGTTCTTAGCTTTGCTTGCTTAGGAAAAGTAACTAACAGGCTCTCTCCCTCTCAGGCATACATCTTCTAAACGCTAAGGGTCCCCAGGAAGTTTGCAACCAGGGGAGCGATGGGCAGCAGCGGCTTTTCCCTGAACTCATTTTCAAGGCCCCCTTTCTCTGACTTTCCATTGAACCAAACAGCCCTGCCTAGGCTCTCTCTTACTGTTGCTTCTATTTTTTTTTTTTAAATATATTTTATTGATTTTGTACAGAGAGGAAGGGAGAGGGATAGAGAGTTAGAAACATCGATGATAGAGAGTCATCGATCAGCTGCCTCTTGCACACCCCCTACTGGGGATATGCCCGCAACCAAGGTACATGCCCTTGACCGGAATCGAACCCGGGACCTTTCAGTCCCCAAGCCGACGCTCTATCAATTGAGCCAAACCGGTTTTGGCTTTTTATTTTTTTTTTTACCACATTTAGAAATTCTGATCTATTTGGAGTCGTCATCCCCCCCTTTTTTTAAGTGTACTTATTTTTATTGGTTTCAGAGAGGAAGAGAGGGAAAGAGATAAAAACATTAATGACGAGAGAAAAGTCATTCATCAGCTGCCTCTTGTATGCTCCCTACTGGGTATGTGCCCTGATCGGGAATCTAACCATGACCTCCAGGTTCATGGGTCAATACTCAACCAATTGAGTCACACTGGATGTTTCTATTTGAAGCTCTTCCTTGTTTCACTGTCCCCAGCTTTAATAAAATGTATTCTCAAAATATTTTTAATGCTACTGCTAAAATAGTTACTAATAAACACTAATCAACTATTTCTTACCGACTGTTGCATTATTATTTACGTATTGAGAAAGCAGATCTTCATCAGCTTGCTCATGCTTTTCAGCAGAAACAAAGTCATTCTTGGAGAAGCTGTTGTTCTTTTTTAAAAGGACTGTTTTACTTTCAGGTTGATCTGAAACTGGAATTTCCACTGGTTTGTAATTGGCATGGATATATGTCTCTTCAGGAAGCATATAACCTTTACTAAAACATTGCAGCAACCATTTTGCTCCCACTACATGAGGCCTAAAAAATAATGCAGAAGTATATGTTAGATTAAACTATAAAGACCATAATCCCATTTTCCAATGCAATTTCCAAAATTACATGAACATGCAATTTTAAGAAGCATTATTACTGAACAGAAATTGCTGTGAATTAAAAAATGACAAAACCTGTGGGCTGATTTATCCCAAAACTGCTTCAATTCATCATCATAATCTCCCACAATAACGTGAGTCACATCTTCATTGAGCTGGTTAAAACGAACTCCACCTCCACTGTTAATAAGCCTTCTCAGTTTATCTAGTTTTCTGCCACTAAAACCACAAAGATATATCTGCAAAGAAAGAAAATATTTACTTTAGATTAATGCATGTAAGATGTTTTATTTCTCACAAGTAACACATTACAAATATATATCAAAATCTACTGTGTGTAAATAAAACTCGTGTATGTTTTAAGATATACTGATAGAAAAAGAGAAAAAAATATAAGCAAGAGTATATTCTGAAATTTGATTATCACTTCTTCATAATCTCATAGCATTATCCTTCACAGTAGATACTTGGTAATTATTTTGGTGCTTCAAATAAAAGTCAGAATAAAATTATCTTCTAAATATTACTGCATAGCAATTTCTAAAACACAGCTAACTTAAAAATCTTACTACTTGTAAATTTTAAAATAATTATAGAAACATGAGTTAAATGTCTGAATTGAGAAAACCTAGGTTGAAATTTTGGTTTGGCTGCCAATGATTACACACCTGACCATGGCAAGTTACTTAGGCTCTTTAAACCAATTTCCTTACCTATAAATTGAAGAATTTTTTCCCCCACAATTAAGCAATAAAATTTAAGTCAAGAGATGAGTACTGCTAATAGGGTGGTGAAGGCCTGGGATGAGGGGTGGGGACGGGATAGAAGGGGCAATGGGGGGAGGGGAGAAAGAGGGATATATATATATAAAATACCTTAAACTAGTGGTCGGCAAACTCATTGGTCAACAGAGCCAAATATCAACAGTATGATGACTGAAATTTCTTTTGCGAGCCAAATTTTTTAAACTTAAACTTCTTCTAACGCCACTTCTTCAAAATAGACTCGCCCAGGCCGTGGTATTTTGTGGAAGAGCCACACTCAAGGGGCCAAAGAGCCGCATGTGACTCATGAGCCACGGTTTGCCAACCACAGCCTTAAATTATAAAGATTTAAAAATAAATTAAATTTGTGGATAAAACTTACACAAAAACTTTTTTTTTTTTTTTCATGTTGCCCTAGCCAGTTTTGTTCAATGGACAGAACGAACTGAGGGTCCCAGGTACGATTCCTGTCAACATGCCTGGGTTGGGAGTTTGATCCCCAGTAGGGTACTTGCAGGAGGCAGCCGATCAATAATTCTCTCTCATTAATGATGTTTCTATTTCCTTCTCCCCTCCTCTCTGAAATCAATAAAAATCTATTTAAAAATATATTTTTTCATGTCTATTTTACATGTGTCTTTTAAAAATTTCTTAAGAACAAATTTATTCCCAATTGCATTTATATCCCAAACTAAATAACCTCCACTACTATATTTTAACAAAAATTAGAAATATATACTTCTATAAATAAAGAATACTTTAGTCATATCTAGAATTAGTAGAGTCTAGGATAAAAGATTATACAAGACACTTTCTGTTCTAAATTGATGTTTTAAAAGAAGGTAATTTGCACAATTTCCTTTCTTAACAATAAAACATGGTTAAATCTTTGCTACTTTCTGAGAATAAATGCATAGCCTATTCATTCTACAAGTAGGAATATATTAAGTTTGCACTAAAAATACTGAACAGCCCAGAGATATTAAACAAAGCAGTGGGTGTAATGAAATACAGGCCTTGCAGGAGATGGCTGTTACTTAAGGCCTGTGATTCCAAAGAAGAATTTTAATCCTCTAAGTCTCAGCCTCAGGATAATATCCATTTTAGAGTTATTTGTGGGAATTAATTGAGATTATACACAATACAGTAATAATATGTATGAAGTGATTAGCATAGTGTCTAGCATATTATAAACACTTAAAAAATCTGTTAAGTGGTTCAAGGACTAAGATCTCAAAACACAGTAGATAGAAAAGTCTAATGCAATTCGGAGGGTTCAGAGAAGAGCTGAAAACTGCCATGGACTTTGAAGGATGACAGATGAAGGAACATCCCAGGCAGAGGGACTCTGGCAGATAAAAAAGGATGGACAATGGCCTACTAAGTGCATCGCTTAGCCAGTGTATAGAGTTTATGCAGAAAAGGAGCAAACACAACTCTGAAGGGTCTTCAAAGTCAGACCAGGAAGTAGTGATGTACACTGTCACTTACTGCAATTATTAGTAATAAAGACATACCCGACAACCATCTAATAAATCTTCAGGTGCTTGAAATGCACTGACATCCAGATTTTCTAGATTTTCAAGTAGAGGCTCCACTTTGCTATTAAGAATGGAATTATATATCGATTCATTTATGCAACTTGCATTGATGTTGGAAATATTGCTGACATCTGAAAGAGTACGACCTATGTATTAAACAAAGATTAATATTTATGAAGGTAAAATAGCTGTGACTACATGTTTTTCTATAGATTAAGTTTTCTGATACACATAGGGCTATGAAGAACTTCCAAAATTCAGATTCAAGTGTTTTTACTGAAATCTTGGTGGCAAAATAGGAAAAGGAAAAATAAAACTAATGCTCATATTTTATTGAAATGAAAATATATTTAATATGTTACTAATTTTTAATAAAATCTAAAGTTGCTGGCTTTAAGGTCCAGTAAGCTAATATTAAAAAAAAAAAAAAAGTTTATAAACATTTGCTCAATTGCCCAACATGTAACCTACAAACCAGAAATGGTTTTAAATTTTATATGAATATAGATGATCTACAACTGCAACAAACTAATAAAAAAAGGAAATGTACTAATAATATCTGCACGTCAAGTTTTTTAAAATTAAAATTTTATTTTAAGTTTATCTGTTAGTATTCTTAATTTCTTTAAGCATCTTCTTCATTACATCAGGGTATGAAAGTATGCATTCATTATAAAAAAGAAGTATCAGAAGTTCTTAATTTTTCATTCATTTTAGTTCTAATACAATTATGCCAAGAGGCAGAGCAAGAAAAGATGGAATTCTCTACTATATTTCACTGATCCTATTACCAATTCTTACACAGAAAACTGATAGTTTACTTTAATCCCAATGAGACTTACTATTAATTGTGTTGATCTGGCCAACAGGAGTTGAAGTATCAGGCATAGTGTTTGTTTCTGCTCTAGGTTCTGTCTTGTACATGGATTCATCCTGACAAAAACCTTTCTCAACACTATCAAAAAACCACTGTGTGGTCACACAGTGTACATTCCATCGCTTGGCACATTCATATTTTTGACCTATTATGTTCATTAAGAAAGAGAGCAATGCAAATCATTAAACTCTATCTTGGCAGAAATATTCAAATTTATGATAGGTTATTAAAAAATCCACCTGACACAAAGTCACTAGTAATTACTCTTACTTTTAAATACAGATGCTATGTGAGGAGTAACATCTGTTACAAACTTATATAGAGACAGAGGCAACTGTGGGGTAACTGAAACAATATTACACTTGGTTTGAGTATACCCTCCATCACTTAATTTAAAAATATATATTTTTATTGATTTTTTACAGAGTAAAAGAGAGGGATAGAAACATTGATGAGAGAGAGGCGCACTGATCAGCTGTCTCCTGAACACCCCCCACTAGGTATGTGCCCGAAACCAAGGTACATGCCCTTGACCAGAATTGAATCTGGGACCCTTGAGTCTGCAAGCCGACACTTTATCCACTGAGCCAAACCAGCTAGAACCACTTAATTTCTTTAAAAATATTGAAATATCATATAGCCCTGGCCACTGAGGCTTAGGAATTTGGGCCTTTGTCCCATGCACTGAAAGGCTGCTGATTCAATTCCTGGTCAAAGCGTATGCAGGAGGTAACCGATTGGTGTTTTGCTCTCACATTGATGTTTCTCTCCCTCTCCCTTCCTCTCTGTAAAAAAGTCAAAAAAATCTTATAAAACAAACACACACACACACACATATATATATATATATATATATATATATCCATAAAACCCTTTACTGCCTTAAACATATTTTAACACAATGTATTTTGAAGCAGTATCATAGAGAAATTGAGGTCAACATGTAATAAAAAATAACATGAAAACAGTTTGTTTGTTTTTTACATTCTTGAGAGCCAGGAAATGAGCTATCCTCAGAATCAGAAAATAGCTATAGCAGTTATCAACTTTATTTATAATCATAATTGGGCATACACAAAATTCTGACTTAATTACAATTACCAATTTTAACAATATTTTTTAAATTTTATTTCCTATCTAGGTCTGAGTAAAACACTGTATAGATATAAGAGATTACAAAGATATGTAATTTAACTACAAATATTAGCTCTCTTGTTATCCATACAAATTTCTTATCTCTTTTCTAAGTATTTGGTAATTGTGTAGGAGACAAAAAAATTAAAAGATTGGATAATAAATTTAGATAAAGCACTACTGAAAATTTTTATTTTATATTTATTGAATGACCTGGGTAAACACTAGGACAGTCATATAATTTTTCTACAAATTGTGACCCAAACTATTTTTGTAAGATTTTTAGGGGGGAAAAATATCACACTATATTTATGATATGTCAGAAGCAAAAGCTATTCTGTAAAGAAAATCTTAACCCTTTGCACTCCGCTGTCCCCTCTCAGGGGACATCGGAATTCTAGCATATCACTCGGATGTCCCCTCTCAGGGGACATTGTAGTTTATTAGTGATTACGGGGAATTGGGTTAATTCAACGCACCCGCCGCAAAGTAGCATGGAGTAGCTGGTAGCCAATGTCCAGAATGGTTCGGAGTGCAAAGGGTTAAATTGTTAAAAAGTAGAGAAAATCTTGCATTTGTCCAAGGAAATAGTTTTTACCTTTTGGCTCTTGCACAATGAGGTGTGTACATTCATTCATTTTCAACTGTCCCATATATTGGCCTCCATGCTTAACTGTAAGTTGCTGAACTGACTTCCTTTCTAAGCCACACAAGCCAGTCACACAGATTATGCAACCAAGAAAAATAGGACACTTGAAGTTTTCCATGTTTATATCAGTATATCTAGTTATTGTACTGGGAAAAACAAATAAAAAGGAGAAAAATGAATGTATTAAATATACCAGATAGTTTAAAGTTCACCAGAAATATAAGAATATCACTAATGCTTTCCTCATTTTTAAAGATTTTTATTAAATATTAAGAAAAGGGGAACTCACAGACACTCAGAATTACACTAATTGCTAATCTAAGCTCGGCACCAAATCTCTAATAAAAAGTAATGTTTTAAGGGAAAACTTTTCATTAACTCTAAGTCTGTGCTGGTAAAAGTGGTGGTTATTTCCCAAAATTTTAAGTCTGAATCTCTACTTTGGTTGCCTACTAGAAAAACAGAATCTGTATCCTTTTCTTATACAAATAATAAGCAATGATTTGGGGCAGAAACCAACAAAAATATCACTGTCCTTCTGTTGCCATGCTTGGCAGATGTGCTGATGAAACAGGCTGGGAATGAGGGTAGTGAGATGCTATCCTGTTTGCTCACTACATATGCCTACAGCCTAGCTCAGGGCAGATACATAAAATGGGCTCAATTAATATTTATTGAATGATCACATCCCAGCTAATGACTTACATGATTATTTTCAACTTTACATACATCCACTTTGGGAGGGAATACAAGTGACTAATTTGGTCTCCATATTAACATATAGGCACAGTACTAAAGAAGAAAGCAATATAAAACTTGCATTTGCCATACTGATTTCCCCAACTATTTTACAGTATACTGCTCAAAACAATTTTATTATCAAAGCATTTCCTACCTTGTAGCTAATTCTAACCCATAGCCCATTCTACCTATCAACTTCTAACCGGGTAACAGCTTTTAGAATCCGCTCTTTTGTTTTCATTGGAGAAAAGAATGATGACCCAATTTTTATCCCTGAATGACAAATCCAAAGATACAATAAAACCTCCCCTATGAAAACTCACAATAAGCTAGAATGACTAAACATATTATTTTCAAATCTAGAATATATCGAAATGTCTTTCTTACTTCTCTTGTGACTTCTCCCAAAGTGTGTTAACCCAAGAAGGAAGCAAAATTGGTTTCTTTAGATTTGCAGCAACTAAGTATTTTTTGCTACCAACTTCTCCGGCAATAAGGTGAGTTACTGATAGATTCAGGTCTCTGTACACACGTCCACCCATCATTTGTACGTATTTATGAACTTCTTCCTGTAGTCCCAAGAGAAAATATATTAATTCTGAAGCAAACCTCTATTTTTTTATACAATATCCCATATATATCTTGTTAGCTTAAATGCACAAGTGTTTCTCGCCAACATAAAGTTAAATAAATAACCAAATTACTTTTTGGAAGGTAAATATGAATTATAAAAAGAAATTTATTAAATTTCTATTTATTGATTTTAGATAGAGAGAGGGAGGAAGGGAAAAAGAAAGCGAGAGCAAGAAACATTATCATTCCACTTATTTATGCATTCATTGGTTGGTGTGCCCTGACTGAATATCGAACCCACAACCTTGGTATATTGCAATGATACTCTAACCAAGTGAGCTCCTGGGCCAGGGCATAGATTTTAAAATAATACCTTTTTTAAAATAATACATAATTATCTCTTTATAAAGTCATTAAACTATGTTGTCTTTTAAAATATATTTTTATTGATTTTTAGAGAGGGGAAGGGAGAGGGATAGAGAAAGAATACCTCGATGTTGAGAAACACTGGACAGTTGGCCTTCTGTACACACCTAAACTAAGGACCGAACCCACAACCTGGACATGTGCCCTGACTGGGAATCCCACTGGTTACCTTTCGGGTGCATGGATGATGCTTAACCAACTGAGCCACACTGGCTAAGGCACTATATTACTTCTATAATAAACAAAGTATTTTAATTTACCATACATATTTTAAAATGAGTAAATTACATATGTAACATAATATATCTACTACATACCTCTCTCTCAGAACCCCTCTCCCCTTTTTATAGGATCTCCCATCTACAGAGGAAAATGTTTCAAAAGCAAACTTATTGACTACGTAGGGGGAAAAGTGAGTTTCCTTTTCCTTTAATTTTTTTCTTTTCTTAGCCCTGGACAGTCCAGTCCAGTGGATAGAGCATCAGCCTACAGACTGAAAGGTCTCAGGTTTCATTCTAGGCATGGTCATATGCCCAGGTTGCGGGCTTGATTCCCAGTGGAGGGCATGCAGGAGGCAGCCAATTGATGATTCTCATTACTGATGTTTCTCTCTCTTTTTAAAAAAAAATATATTTTATTGATTTTTTACCGAGAGGAAGATAGAGAGATAAAGAGTTAGAAACATCGATAAAGAGAGAGAATCATCGATCAGCTGCCTCTTGCACACCTCCTACTGGGGATGTGCCAGCAACCAAGGTACATGCCCTTGACTGGAATCAAACTGAGGACCTTTCAGTCTCCAGACTGATGCACTATCCACTGAGCCAAACCGGTTTCGGCCACTGATATTTCTCTCTCTCTCCCTTTCTCTCTGTAATCAATAAAAATGGATTTAAAATGTATCTTCTTAAAAATAAAACAGATCCCACTCTATTCAACTCATAAAAAAATAAAAAAGATAGGCCTGGCCAGTGTTGCTCAGTTGGTTGAGCACTGTCTTGTGCACCAAGGGTTGCAGGTTTAATTTCCAGTCATGGCACATGCACAGGTTTTGGGTTTGGTACCTCGTCAGGGTGCATTAGGAGGCAACCGATTGATACTTCTCTCTCAATCAGTTTCTCTTTCTCTCTTAAAATAATAAAAATGAAAAAAATATAAAAATACAAACACCAAGTATAAAGTCTTCCAAGTATATTCTACACAATAAAAAATTCAGTATGGAAATACAGACGTATTCCTCAATACCTACCCTTTTGTCTTTTTCCAGGCTTGTACAAGATACAGTTACATCACACATAACCATATTATAAACTGGATGCTCAGCTCTTGGGACACATCGCTGGTGCTGCATACAAAATATAACTACTTGAGGACCAACAATTCTGCAGCCAAGCTATAAAAAAAGGGGAAAGTTTAGTAAGTAACACTTTATATTATTTACCAATTCTTTATAAAAGTTGGTGATCACCACAAAATTTCACCAAATTATTTTAAGAAAAATATAGAGACCATTATATAATTTCTCAGACATAGTACTCATTAACTATACACACATAAAAGCAAGTCAAACAATGCAGGCTATCAAAAGAAGTAAGCTCCAAGAGCCACTTTCACTCAAAATTACCAATGAAATTTTAATCACAATCGTAACAATGGGAAGGGTGTATGACTAACAGTCTTAAGCCATAATTAGGAATTATCCTTCTATACTTTTTAAATGAAGCACCCAGCCAATGAAACAGCTTAAAGTATTAAGCCTAAATAACCCTCATCTAAATTACCTCTTATATCACCAAAAAACAACAAAACCTTATAATTCTGGGCAGTTTCTACATTTGTTTTAAATATTCTGTCTGCAACTCAAAGTCTTCCCAAAGAAAACCCACAAACACTTCTTTTAAGATACTGAAGGTTACTAAAAACAAAAACGACATTTCATTTTCATTGATAATTGACACTAGCACATTCAAGCCAGGCTAAAAAATCTACAGTTGTGCAAATCACCATAATATGACTGAAATATCTACAGAGTAAATGATTATCTTCTTGGTCAAAAGAAAATGGAGTTTTTAAGCTATTGATTCTATCTGACAAGCAGTGTTATTTCCAAAAGGAGGGTAAGACCAGCAATGCTTCCGGCAAAAGTGGGCACAGACCTTCCACAAACTGTACAGATACTGCATCTGCCTACTCTTCTAGGTTTTCTTCTCCTTCAAACAAGAATCACTTCTTTGTAATCTGGATGGAATTACAGCCCGTTTACTTTTATTTCAATGCTTCTCTCTTGTCCAGACACCAAAAAAGTAATGAGTCAGTAGACTCTAGAATCAACAGAAAGAAATGAAGATGGCTCACTGGTATATTAGCAATACATTCATCACCAAAATGCTTCCTTTTAACGTAACTTTTCAGTCTTTAGGAAGTACAGGTATTAAATTCTACCTGCAAGAGCAAGTAATCTGAAAGAAGCGGTCTTTTCCTACTCTATTTCTCCCTGAAATATTTTGCGATCACACTGAGTTTAAAGTACAATAGAACTCAGTCACTAAAATGCTTCAGTATAGCCCTGGCTGGTGTGGCTCAGTTGGTGGGGAGTGCAACATAAGGTTGCTGGTTCAATTCCCCGACAGGGCACATGCCTGAGCAAGGTGTGGAGGAGGCAGCCAATCAATGTTACTCTCTCACACCATGTTTCTTTCTCTCCCTCTCCCTCTAAAAATCAATAAAATAAACTTTTTAAAAGAGGGATTAATTTAAAAAATAAAATGCTTCATTACTATAGGATTCCCTTACACTAAGTGAAGTTAAATCCCCTGAAATACTATAAAAAATTACATATTAACAAAAGCTTATTATAACATAACTAGAGGCCTGGTGCACAAAATTCGTATGGGGGGAGGAAAGGGTCCCCTCAGCCCAGCCTGCACCATCTCCAATCCGGGACTCCTCGGGAGATATCTGACTGGCAGTTGGATATCCCTCTCACAATCTAGGACCACTGGCTCCTAACTGCTCACCTGCTTGCCTGATCACCCCTAATTGCCCCCTGATGGCCTGGTCATCCCCAACTTCCCCCGCTGCCCCCAACTACCCCCACCCCCATCCCCAACTTCCCCCGTTGCCCCTCACTGCCCCTCTCTGCTGGCCTGGTCACCCCCAACTGCCCCCTCTTGCGGGCCTGGTTGCCCCATGCAGCCTGTTCGGTCATCCATTTGGTTGTTTCAAATGTGATGGTTGCTTAGCCATATATATATATATATATATATATATATATATATATATATATATATATATTTTTTTTTTTTGTACTAGAGGCCTGGTCATCCATTTGCTTGTTTCAAATGTGATGGTTGCTTAGCCTTTTATTTATATATATATATATATATATATATATATATATATATATACACACACACACACACATATATATACATATATATACATATATATGTATCGATATATATATATATATATATATATATATATATATATTTTTTTTTTTTTTTCTACTAGAGGCCTGGTGAATGAAAATTCATGCACTGGAATGGGGGGGTCCCTCAGCCTGGGCTGCCCCCTCTCAGTTCAGGAGCCCTCAGGGCCAGGAAGCAACCTGGCGATCAGGGGAAGGCAATACCCCGTCACATCTTTGCTGCTGTTACTGCTGGCAGTGCAAGCCTCGGCCAGCTCTGGGCGGCTGAGCAGCCTCCATCCAAGGCTTGCCTGCGCATCTGAGGAGACTGGGCAGCTGAGGAGACTGGGGGGCTCCAGAGGCAGGCGTGCGGAGCAGCTGGATCTACCTTGCTGCACGGCTGCCGCCCCAGCAGGGCTGAGGGAACTGGACGCCACTATATTTGCAATGGCGTGAGAGTCAATTAGCATATTCCCTCTTTATTAGATAACAAATAATTTTTTTGTATTCATAATTTGCATACTTCATGATCAATAAATAATTTTTCCACTGAAGCAAAAACAAATCCAAAAACATACTGAAGAAACACAATGTAAGTTAGCAAACCTTTTTGAGGTGATCAAAAACACCACCACTAAAAGCGTCACATATATAAAGTGATCTGTCATCCTCCTTAAGCTTCAATGCCTCTTCCTCTGTAATAATCTGAAGATATTCTTCGGACTGGAACTCTTTTATTGACTGAAAGAAAAAGATGAAATAAGATTGCACCTGAAACTGTCATTTGCTATTTAAGTCCTACAAGCTCTATATTTAAAATCCATCCCAAATCCAGCCTTTTCCTTGGACTCCTCCATCACCTCTCACCTAAACTCCTGTAGAAGTCTCTCAAGTGTTTCCTTCTCCCTCCCTTGCCTTAAATCTTTTCTCCACACAACAGCAAGAAATCTTTTTAACAATATAAATCACATTATGCCCCTCTACTCAAAAACTTCAACGTCTTCCAAGCACACCCATATGAAATCCACATTTCTTAGGATGGCCTACAGGACCATGGCGTCCAGCCCTTGCCTGTCTCCCTGCCCTTACCTTCGACCTCCCACCGACCTTACTTTTTCTCTAGTCACTCCAGCATTCTTGCTACCACTGGAACAAGCAGAGCAAGACCTCCTTTAGAGGCTTTGCTCTTGCTCCCACCGCCTGGAATACTATTCGCCCAGGTCTTCACCAGACTCAAGGCCTTACTTCAAATGTCACCTCCTCTGAGATGCCCTTCCTGATCACTCTTTCTAAAATACCCCTTTCCTCCAGTCTATGTTACGAAGACATAACACCGACAGTATGTAGACATATACAGTTGTCTCTCTCTCTTAAAATTTGTTTCACAGTCTTGTTTGCCACCATATCCTGGCACCCAGGTAAGCACGCAAATATTTTCCGAACAAAATTTGAAATCCTCATGTTAAATACTTAGAATGATCCTTTAAAATGAGTAAGTCAGATCATGCCACTGTTCTGATTAAAACCTTCCAACCGCTTTCCATTTCACTGCAAGAAAAAGCCAAAGTCTTCACAATGGCCCACAAGGCCCGACAAATCCTCTTAAACCTGCTCTCTGAAGCATTCCTTAATATTCTTCCCTCCATCTCTTGCTCATCATGCTACAGCCACACAAATGTTGGGTAACACTCCATGCACTTTCCCAGGGGCCCTTCTTCCCTCTGCCCAAAACCTTCACCAGACAGCCACACGGCTATCTCACTTCCTTCAAGTAAACTCAAATATCATCTTTTCCATAAACGATAGCCCAATCACACACACTCTATTTAAAGTTACAAACTTCCAGGCCCCTTTACCTGTTTTGCTCTTTTCTCTTCACTTAACACTTAGCACACTGTAACATACTATATAGTTTACCCATTTGTCATGTCAGATTAATGTCTCTTTCCTCCTGCTAGAATAGAAGGTAAACTCTAAGAAAGTAGCAATCTTCACCTGCTCTGATCACAGATGTATCCCATGTGCTTGAGCAGTGCTTATCAGGCACGCAATAATTATTTGCTGAAGGAGTAAACTTTAAGGAAAACCCTGCTACAACAGAGCTTCTAAAACTTTAATGTACAGAGAAATCACACCGAGGATCTTGTTAAAATGTAGATTCTAACTGTTTAAGTCTGAGTTGGGCCCAAGTTCTGTTTTTATACTCTTAAGGTATGCTGCTGCTGGGGTCTGGGAGCAGCAAGGCTCCACCCTACCTCTGGGTCCTCCCATATTATACTGTACATTATACTGTACATAATGAAACACACTTTTAACAACCTACTAACCAAATAATGAACTGTAACCAGTACAGGACTGACTCAAAATTTTCAACACACAAAGGTCTATTCTGATTAGTAGACAAAAGAAAGCAACTTAATTTCCAAGAACAGCAGGTCTGCCACTTTTAACAGAAATCTCATAATAATTTAAAGCCGCCCCAACATATAATGACATACTTACATTAATTAAATCTAGCAATGAGATATCTGTGTTAATGAGACTACAGTAAAACTATGTAGTTATGAAAATAAAATAACTATTACTGAGATATAAAGATCCAATAAATCAAAAACTCTAAAACCAAGAAAATAAAGCATCAAACACGATGTTTTCAACTGTTCTTACCTCAAGAGCTTTAAGAAAGCATTCGGAATTGTCTGGAGACTGTAAAAACTTCACAAAAAACGGTTCTTTGTCATTTTTGGACATTTTTAAACTGTCAAAACAAGGGAACCAAAAACAAAAACACATTATGCATCACGCTATCTGCTTAAGGAGCCTACTTTTTTTTCCTGCAGACAAGAACGCCTAAGGACAGGCATTTTGGCCTCGCCCGTGAATTCATCCATTCCGTTTGTAAGAATCGCAGGAAAGTGGGCAAAGTCAAAGGAAAAAGATAACCTGCAAGTCCGAGGACGAACTCAATGTCCCGTAGTTCAATACGTTAAGGGCCTTCACTACTGGGGCTCTAAGTGCCCTAACCCAATGAACAATCCATTGCATTTAGCTCCGGGCACAGGATGAACCTGGCTCAGCAGGTTAGGTCAGTACCGGGGCTTCAATGTGAACGTGCAAGCCAGGCAGCAAGGCGCTGCCTCCCAGAGGGCCGGGCGCCCGAGCTCCCCACCCGCTCGGGGAAGGCCCGGCTCCCGGCCCGGCCACAGCCGCCCCTCCCCGCCGGTTACAGGGGCCACAGGGGCCGGGGCGGCGGGAACGCCCGGGCTGCGGCGGGGAAGGAGCGGGGCCCTCTCCGCGCCTCACTCACCTCCGTGGAGCTCGGGGGTTTGGGGGCGGCGTGCGGGGGCGCGCGCGGCCAGCGGGAGCGCGGCTGGGGTCGGGCGCCAGCCCGGCGCACACCCGCCGCACCCCGCGGCGCCCCCACCCCAGGCGAACGCGGAACCCGGAAGTGCCCGAGGCCCCGAACCGACTTTCGCGCCAACCGCGCGGACGCGCTCACCGTTTCCGGCGGAAGTGACATCACCTGCAGCTGCTGGCGGGGAGGTGGAGTCGTGTCCAAAGGGGTGGCAGGCTTCGGGAAGGCTGGGCGTTCTCGCCGGCTTTGGGGCTCAGGGGAAGGACTTGGGCCGGGTGTCCTGGCAGGGGCTTAGGGTTTTTGGAGGCGGCCCTGGCACCGGCGGGGCCGAGCACCCTCGGCTCAGGGGGTGGGGCCGCTGGGGATTAAGGTGCGGAAGGGCTGCGGGCCCCAAGTACCTTAGGGGAAGTCCTAAAACAAGGAAATGTAAAGCTTCAAGCCAGGATGGGGGGGGGGGGGGGGGGGAGAGCGTTTCCTCTATAAATAGTTTTTAAAAAATATTTTTATTGCAAATAAGCATAGCCAACGGATACAAGACACTGGGGGGGGGGCAGGTGAGGGCATATTTTGAGGTAGGGGAGCGGGGGGGGGCAATGGGAGAAAAAAGGGAGACATGTACTACTATTTGTAATACTTCAAACAATAAAAAAAGACAAAATGTTGTATATTTAAGGAACATTAGAAATATATACATTTTTTATTTATTTCAGAAAGGGAGAGGGAGAGATAGAAACATCCATGATCAAAGAATCATGGGTTGGCTGCCTCCAGTATGCCCTCCGTTGGGGATCCAACCCGAAACCTGGGCATGCGCCCTTGACCCCAATCGAACCCAGGACCCTTTAGTTCGTAGGCCTACGCTCTATTCCCTGAGGCAAACCTGCCAGGCTCCGTAAATATTTTATGCCTGCCTGTGCCAGGCAGTGCATGAGAAACCACATATTATCACCCAAAACAACTCTTATGAGGCAAACAGTGGTATTTTCATCTCACAGATGTAAAAGCTGAGGCTTAGATTAGTTAAATGATGTGTCCGAGGTCACACAGTTAAGTGGTAAAGTTCGGATGTAAGCCAAGTCTTTTTCCATTTTATTTTCCATCACCATTGATTCCCTCCTATACCTTCAGCCCCCATCCACCACCACCTCCAATCACCACTTGTCTGTGTCCATTTCATTTTTTTTATTTTTATGAATCCCTCCACTACCCTCCATTACCACCCCCACCAGACCTGACTGCCTGCTATCCATGAATCTGTCTTTATTTTGCTTGACTTGTGGATGAAAATAGGGGTTCAATGGAAAGTAATCTCAGAGTGATCTAATCATACATTCCTAACTGGGCAGGTATGATGGGCAGTCCAGCCTCGGGCACAGAACTTTAGGAAAAGACTTTACCTTAAGGCAGCCCTGTCCATGTTTCTGCGCAACAAGGTTAACACACCTTTGAAACGGCCCACACCAGGCTCCGCCTTCCAATAGTGCCCACCCTTTCCGACCCCGCCTTATAAAGTGTGAATCTTAACTATTCTAATCTGACCTGGGCCTTGCTTTCTCCCACCTTCAGGCAATTTTCCTTACAACCAATCTCAAATGCCTAAAAACAACTGCAAACTGTTAGTCTCTAGTCTCCAAAGCATTTATTATCTCAGTCTATTGAATTCTTGCTCCCAGGTGTATCCTTGCTTGGCAATAAATTTTTACAAAAACTCTCTACAGGTTTGTACGTTCTTACATCCACAGACGCCGCAGACAGCCTCTTTTCCCTACAATTCAGCAAAATAGAATCACTACCTACCACAGCCAAGAGGACAGGAGGGAAGAAAGATGTCTGGATGACTAGATTGCACGCCAAGTGCAAAGAGGTCTTTGCCAAGATTGTCAATGGCCCTCTCCCAGTCTTTCTCCCTTCAGTGAGCATTTCATCTTTCTCGGTAACTCCCTGAGTCTAGAGGAGATCTGGGATGGAAACTAAAGTTCAAATGGCAAAGGTTAGGGGGACGGGAGGTAAAACGGGACGGCAAAATCTTGGCTTGTTCATGATGAACAAGTCTGTTCAAATGACAGACTGCTTAGTGTTTATTTTAATCTTGAGATTGAGAAGCTCATGATTTTGGATTGAGTAATGTGAGAGTTTAATACCATGTTCCTTGATTATTTTTCTCCTTCTTCTTAGCAACTAAAGATAGCAATGAGCAGCTTGGGCCTAAGTATGTGAGCTTGGGCCAAGCCAAGTGAGTCAGAATCGGTAACATGAGGGCTCAATGGTAAAGACCTGGTGCTGTTGTTGGGGACAGGGCGAGGAAACCCTTAAAAATAAAGTTAGTTTAAAAAACAAACAAACACACACAAAAAACCCCACAATATTACAGTTAATTGTGAGGGAGCAAAACTGTCATGAAGCTGTAACAATAATGACTATTCATAGGGTACTTCAGTGTCCATAAAGGACTCCTGCTTGCACTATTTCTGTTTACTTTCCTCAGCAATCCTCTAGTCTAGTATGCTGGCATCATTGTCCCATATTATGTAGATGGAGAAAGTGAGCCTCAGGCACTTTGTCACAGCCAGGAAGTGAGTATACCTTGGCTTGAGAAGAGGTGGCCTGACTGGAACCCTGCGCCCCTTCTGACCAACCAAACTGCTCCTTGTCACATGCTGCCTGCACACCTCTTCACAAAGGTCTGCACTGGGGCCTTGCTGCTGATGAAGATGAGGAGGAAAAGGAAAGCACTCTGAGCTTTTAGCCAGCTGGATTTGAAGAGCAGTGGAGTCAACCTTGCAAATGACAAGTTCTCCCATCTGTGTCTCCACATTAGCTAGAGCAGTGGTTCTCCTCCTAGTGTAGAACCTGGACCGGATGCCTCAGCCTCACCCAGCAATGTGTTGGAAATGGAAATTCTTGAGCCTGACCTCAGGCCTGGGAGTCAGGAACTCGGAGGGTGGGTGCCAGCATTCTGTGTTTGCACAGTCCTCCTCCAGGTGACTGGGATGCACATTGAAGTTTGCTTGAACAGCAGTCCCTTTGGAAAGGGGGGAAATGGTTAGGCCAGTTGTGGTTAATGATTTCCTGAAAATGGGGAATAGCTGTGTTGTACCCCGATGTAACTCTCAGAAGAAAGAGTTCAGGGATTAACATTCCCCTCACCTCTCTGGCATTCAGGGGCACCTCCCTATTTCTTTGGCATTTTTTCACCTAGAACCAGACACTCCAGACCCTTGCAGTAGGATTAAAGGAGACTTTATATTGATCTATTTGTAGAATGGAAAAACACAAGAAACAAATATGACAAAACAGTATTTTTAAAATAGAGGTGGTGGGAGTATGAGTTATATTTTGCTACATAGATAAGATTTCTCAAAATTAATAAATGAACTAAAAATAGATTTTTGAGGGTTTTATATTTCTCAAAATTAATAAACTAAAAATAGATTTTTGAGGGTTTTATATTTTTTTCAGTGCTATAAATGAATGAATTTGTATAAGTAAAGGGCTTATAATTTAAAATGAATGAGACTAGCAATCTTAAGTAGTCTTTGCTGTGGCAAAACATTAGTTTAAACTGTTGTCTTCAGTAATGTGAAAAGTAAAATAGACCTACTGATTCTGGTGTGGTGGAGGGAAGGGGATAAAATAGAATCTTAACAGCATCTGTTGGTACTGGCTGCATATAATTAGGTATTATAAGAAACAAACAACAAGCTCCAGGTGGAATTTGAATCTAAAAACCAAGAGGGGAATTAAAAAAAAAATCTGATGAACAATATTAACTGGTGAATATAATAGAATCAGAGGTATGGAAGGGGAGTGAACTGACGATTTTCAGGGAAAAGGAGGAGGGGTGTGTGGGAAGAGACTGAACATAAACTGTGCACCTATGGATGAGGACAATGGGGGGTGGGGTGGGGAAAGGGCAGAGGGTTGGGTGGGAATCTGGTGGAGGGGAGCAATGGAGAGGGGGGAAAAATGAGGAACATTTGTAATAATATGAACAATAAAGATTTATTAAAAAAAAAAGGGGGGGGTGGAATTTAGCAATCTACAAATGTGAGGTTTTGCAAGGTTGGGAATGACTGCATCTAGGCCCTAAAAATGAGATATACCAGAGAGAGGTTTTAAATGGCCATTACAACCCATCCATGTAGAGAAGATCTAGTTAAGAGTATGGTCCTGCCCTCACTGGTTTAGTTCAGTGGATGAAGCATCGACCTGCGGACTGAAGGGTCTCGGGTTCGATTCTGGTCAGGGGCATGTACCTTGGTTGCGGGTACATCCCCAGTAGGGGGTGTGCAGGAGGCAGCTGATTGATGTTTCTCTCTCATCGATGTTTCTAACTCGATGTTTCTAAATACACATAATCATTACGTGTATTTATTCATTCATTCGATTTTGTTTGGAGCCCTATATGATAGCAGACCCTATTTTCCAATGTAGGATCAGCATACTTTTTGCAACATGACTTTGTCCCTGTACAAAGGAAGTTTTTGGAGTTTGCTCCATCCTGAGGTCAGGGGCACCTTGGATTTGAGCTGTGTTAGCTTTAGATAGATAATTAACCTTATCCCTCTCCTTTCCTCTCTGTAAAAAATCAGTAATATATAAATATATTTTATATAAATATAAATATATAAATATATTTTACTGATTTTTTATAGAGAGGAAAGGAGAGGGATAGAGAGTTAGAAACATCGATGAGAGAGAAACATCGACCAGCTGCCTCCTGCACACCCCCTACTGGGGATGTGCCCGCAACCAAGTTACATGTCCCTGACAAGAATCGAACCCGGGACCCTTCAGTCCACAGGCCAACGCTCTATCCACTGAGCCAAACCAGTTTTGGCAATAAAATTTTTTTTTTTTTTTAAGAGTATGGTCCTTGCACCCAAGCCAGGTAAGCATCATGGATTGAGAGAAAGAGAGAGGTATGGGGCCAAGGACAGCAGCCAGGCTTGAACATTAGTTCGAGAAAACTGTGGAGTGGCTACTGTTGCAGGGAGAGAGCTCTTTCAGGGCTTCCCGGCAACTTTGCACGCATCCATAGGGGCAGAGGTGAGAACGACAGCACATCTAACCTCCTGCTCTGCTGCTGTGAGAGGTTGTGTCAAAGCAACAGAGGTGTCGTTAGCACTCTGGATGTCCTTCCTTTGCAACATGACTCTGTCCTCGTACAAAGGAAGTTT